CCACTCTGCATATTTTACCGGTTCAATTATCTCCTGGACTAGGAGACGGTCCAGTTCGGCCTCAACCCTTCCTCTCATTGCATACGGGACCGGTCTAGCTTTAAAAAACCTGGGGGTTGCTTCCTTGTCCACATATAGTTTAGCTGGGAGCCCTTTACATTTCCCTAGTTCCTCTTTGAAAACCTCCTCATATTCCCCAAGTACCTCCTCCAATGTCTCTTCCCTGACATGGTGAATCTGGCTTTCCGGTCTCCACTGCAAACCTAGCTTCTTAATCCAGTTCCTGCCAACTAGACTAGGGCCCGTCCCTGGCACAACTACAACCGGTAGGTTTTTTACTGACTGTTTTTGCTGCACTTTTACCATAGCTGCTCCCAAAACATTTACCCTATGTCCTGTGTATGTTCTGAGTCTCACTCTGCAGGGTTGTAGGGCTGGTACCTCTCCCCTCCATAAGGTTTTGTACACTGAGTGGTTCACCACTGTTACCCCACATCCTGAGTCTACTTCAAACTGTGTTTCAGTTTCGTTAATAGTCAGTGTTTCTAGAAATGGCTCCTCTGCCGGTATGTCTATTTCCTCCACTTTGTACAAAGTGAACATGATCTCATCTGTGACTATGTCATCTTTTTCGCCTTCCCCCTGGCTGACATAGTTTGCTCCCTGAGTTTTCACATGCTTATATCTCTGATATACTCCACCCCCTTTTGCTTGTGAAGCACTAACTGAGCCTTTTGACCTACACACTTTCTGAATATGGCCTATCTTCCCACACTTGTGACAGGTTTCTTGAATAAACCTACAGTCCCCAGCTATGTGCTGCTCACTGCCACACCTGTAACAAGCCTTATGCTGGTGCTGCTGCTCACTGGGGCTCTGCCTTGCCGTCATCTTGTGCACTGCCTCAGGTGCTCTCATGTGCGAGGGTGCTGACTCCAATGACTGTAAGTCTCTCACATTCTTGCTGGCTGTCTCAATAGCCTGTGCCAGCTTCAGTGCCCTGTCGAAGATCAAATCCGGCTCTGACAACAATCGCCGTTGTATGCGATCCTCCCTAATCCCACAGACCAGCCTATCACGCAGCATTTCTGTTAACTTGTCTCCATAGTTACAATCTTGTGCTAATTTCCTTAGCACAGCAACGTACTCCATGACTGTTTCTCCCAGCTTCCTACTTCTTGAGTTCAATTTGTAGCGCTGTACAATTTCACTGGGTTTGGGGTTGAAATGGTCTTTCAGCAGCTGAACAAGCTCATCAAACGTCTTATCTCCTGGCCTCGCCGGGCTGATAAGGTTCCTCATAAGGCTGTAAGTCTGACTGCCAACTGAACTGAGCAAAATAGCTTTCTGCCGACCTGCATCTTCGATCTCATTAGCTTCAAAGAAATATTGGAGAACCTCACAATATTTCTCCCACGTCTGGGATTGACTATCAAAAGGAGCGGTGTTTCCTACCATTGCCGCCGCTATCTTCTAGCTCACACCACTGTCCGGTGTTTGGTGCCGTTAACGTAGCCACTCAACAGTCTCGCTCATTTGTGTGCATTTCCACCAGGCATCTGCTGTACTTTTATCCTCGTCGCCATGATGTAGTAACTCACAGGAGGCTTCTGGTGAGCATAGTGGAGTGTATTGGTTTCTGGTAGCGCCGAACTGCGTCTCCGGTTCATCACAGCTACTTGCAATGGGCCTACAAGATCCACTACACCTCTATGGTACCCATGTACATGTCAAAATGCTTCCCAAAGGTCAAGGAATACCATGATCATAACACCAGAGGGAGCTCCACAAATCATGTGAAACCCAGATTTGGCACAAAAAAGGGGGAATACACGTTTCGCAATTATGCCACATCAAGGTGGAACGCTCTTCCCACAACTGTAAAGGAAAGTAAAACTATACTTACCTTCAAAACCTCTCTTAAAGAGCACCTTCGGGGGAGAGCATTGCAAAACTGGCCCCGGTAATGGTACAAATCTCAACCTGTCGTTCAATGGACAGCTTCCCCCCCCCCCCCATCTATGTATATACTCACATTTTAGACTCTGTTACTAACTGTATATCTGTAGACTTGGTATGTCTTAAATGTCCGGTTAGGATGTATTAGAACGAAATCTAAAATGAAAATTGTAAACAAGCAATCTGTATGTAAAAAAACCACCTGTATGTAAATTGTAAATAAGCCATCTGTATGTCAAATATGTCTTAAATGACATGATGAATTGGAAATGGGGGACCCTGATGTAAACAAGACGAAAGTCTTTCTCTGGTCTGCATCCCCTTAACAATTGTATGTTTTGAGCTGTACTGTACTGTACCCAATATACAAGCTGTTAATAAACTTTTCAATCAATCAATCAATCACATATACTTAGCATAACAACATAGCCCCCAGTTCCTCTTCTATGCTTATGGAACGGCAACAACTTCAATGTCACAGTGCCACCTAGTGGACTGGTGAACTAACATGCAATGATATGACCTTACAACACCCCCTATGACATGTGACATCTCTTTCTAACCGTCAGAGCCAATGGAATCGAGGGGAACTCACACATAGTCCTTATTTGGTAATGTGTGTGTGTTAGACTGCCACATAGCAAAGACCGGAAGCAGCAGCCACTCTGGTGGCTACCATTAGCAGCTAACTTTTGCTCTGCGATTTTTTAGCAGGTTTAGCAAGAACAACTCCACCTCTGAGGGGATTTGGGTAGGAAATGGGGTTTTTTCTGGAACCCATTGGTCGATTTTGGTGATTGACATCTCTTTCTGACTGTTAGAGCCAATATAATCGAAGGGGTATCTCCCCACTCACACACAGTCTAAAACAAAAATGTGTGGGCTTCGTGTACGCAGTTTTGCACCAGAGTGAAGCTGTCTCTAGGTCTGACTTCTAGAAACGGAAACGCAGGTTTATTGCTTATGGATTATCAGAAATCATTTCAAAGGGACACAGACACATTGGATTAACCTATGTATTAACTTCAGCAACGTTTTTATTGTTTTAATGCCATTGAAGACCACTTTTGAGTTTTGACCAGACTATGACACAGGTGAGCCATGTTAGCGTTTTTGGCTACCTAGTGCCACATGTTTGATGTCTGTTCTTGTTATTATCTCCGCGAGTTCGTATAATTGAGTGATAATGAGGGTACCCTTCGATTCTGTGTCACCTCACGATGTGACACGATGGGTTGGATGTGCAGCAAAGATAAATAATAAGGTTTTGTGAGTGAATTTCAGTGCAGTCATCTGTTAGCATGTTTCGCTCGTTGCTAATTCAGAGGCTCAGCGTTAGCATTGTGGGGTTTTTAAAAAAATAAAAATGAGCAGTTAGATGAGTTTCTTCCCGTTACATGGATATAAAACATTCATAGTTTATTAAATGAACATGCCCTCAGACTTTGTTTCCTGCAAGATGTTGCGGCAGTGCCCCGGTAAGTAAATGTAACACCCTTTTCACCCCGGTACGCTTTTCATTTGCCCTATACGATGGGCGCTGTAAGTGATGAAAATGGGGGATGTTGGCTTATCAGCCACCCGCAGCTCACAGCCAAAGTGCGATTGAGCGTGGGAGCGAGCGAGGGAGAGAGAGAAGGGCGCACCGGTACCGGCGCTGTTGTTATTAGAATCTGGTGCTAGCTGCTCTAACGGATATATGAAGAAGATGTTTCTACAATAATGTGGAGGGAGAGTCCTCTCCAGTCAGACTGAGAGGCTCAGTGAGGTAAAGGACTCTCAGTGTTTTAGTCTAAGTTATCTCAGTGGGTCTCAAACGTTTTGATCACAATTTATGTAAACATATATTTCCAAGGCACTCCTTTATAATTATTGGGATAAACAGGTTTGAAATCATTTCAATGTATACTATAGGACAGTAAACCAAAAATATACACCAATAAATAAATAAATAAATGTTAATAGGTCAAATAAGATAACAACAAAAATAAAATATGTTACATGTATTTGTTATTGGCTATGGTAGGTTATTGGTTATGTTCACATACTTATTTGATTAATAAAATGTAAACCGATCTTTTTCATATGGGTGTTTAGAGTTGTACCCCCTAGATCTAGTAGTAATTCTGCTCCAAGTGCACCAGATTGAAGCATTTTACTTTAAAGTGTTCAACAAATTCTTCCCGGGGGGCATACCCCCGGACCCCCAGAGGATGTGACGTCCATCCCCCATTCCATTGTGTGTTCCTTGGATACTCTATTGATCTTTATATTTTCTATTGTACGATTCTCTGGCTGGGGTGCCAGCTCAAATCTCACCTAGGGCTGCAAATTGTCTAGAGCCGGCCCTGCTTAAGAGGCCTTTTTTTAAATTATTTTGCTTAATATTTTTTTATCTTTTAAGCTACGAGATGTTTTCCTACGTTTGTCATGAAAAATTATGTCTCAGGAATGTAGGGTTTGGGAATGATGGCAGGTTTAAAAGAAAATATGAAGGCAAAATTAAATCTGTCCTCCACTCTCGCTGTGACATCACGCACTCTAAAATCTGAAGAAGGCCTCTTTACCAAGGTCTGAACCATGTTTAATATCTGTAAAAGTAAGTATCAGATTTAAAAGTTGTGTTACATGAATAATGTCAGAAAGATGTGTGACATTTTAAAGTTGGAATGAGGTTTCTGAGTGAAAGTATGAAGGAGCAGTTAGCAGTTGAAGTTGCATGAAGATTGTTGAAGTCTGAAGAGTTCTCCATTGAATTCCATGTTAAAAATGGGATGTATTATGGGATGTATCTCTGGAATTATGAAAGTTATGAATGATAAAAGTAATAGCCATTGTTTCCCGACCGAGCTGAACGTTTTGATGTTTGAACAGAGTTTCTGCGATGTTCAATGTGGGAGAAGAAGCAGCGCAAAATAACCCGGCGGAATAATAAATAATTTTGTGCGTAGCATAACAGATAGTTGGAATGCTGTGTCAGCATTCCCACTAAATTATGGTTGTATTGCTTTAAATAATGAATGTGTTGTGTATGGTTTCAGGCTGACATAAAGATGGCTGTGTTCATAGAACTTGAAGAAAACCTGAGTCTTGAACTTGATAAAGTCAGGGAACCCATGAAAGAGACCGTTATGGCTTTTAAAAAATGCCTCAGTGGGGGGGTTGAAAAATCAAAAAGTTCATGTGAAAAAGTCTTAAAGTCGGTCCTTTATCCTGTAAGTATTTAAGTTATAATTAAATCAAAACAAATGTTTGCTCTTAATATGAATATGTCTCTTACAAAATGTGTTTTGTTTCAGACAAAGAAAGGTGGTGCATTTCACATGATATTGAAGTGTCTTGTTCAGAATGGTGGCATCCACAAAACAAAAAAAGGGAAATTAATAAACATCAATATGAAGTTAACTTCATGTTTGACCGACAGCATTGACGAGGAATTTAAGAAGACCTTCCCGTAAGAAATGACTTAATAAAGACATAAAACCCTGTGTTGGATATATTGTGTTGTACAATACATTAAAATACATTATTGAAATACAAACTTGTTAAGGCCTTATGAATGTAAGCATTTCCTCTTGTTAATATGTTTTAGAAATGAAGGAAACAGTGGACCATTCAACGGGGTCATCAATGCATTTTCACTTGGCACAGAGAAGCTGATGAAAAAGGAGTGCGAAAATGTCAAACTGCAGCTGACATTTCTCAAGACAGAGGTAAAGGATCCTATTCATTAGTCCATTATCAAATATGTTTGTAAAGCCAGGGAGACTGTAGTGGAAGGGTGAGCAATATTATTAAATATAATACATTTTGATCAGTCAACATATTCATATACATTGTACTGGAATAACTTATGAACTGGAGATGGCTTTGAAAACTTAACTGCAGCTGTACATCTGACCCTGCCCCAAAAGATTGGCCTTGTTTGTAACTTGTTCATTTTAAAAATATGTTAATATCTGCTTCACATTCTCTCTCTAAGGAAGAAAAAATGAAAACAAATCTCAACAAACTCATCCGTGAGCGTAAGAAAACGATCTACAGCAGCCTGACAACAACAATCGAGGAGAAAATGAAACCATGCTATGACAGTAAGTCAGAAGATCATTACAGACATAGAAATACACTTCTACACATTTTTATATTGTAATATTTTTATGTCAACATGTTTCTGTTTTATGTAGGAGCAAAAGAAATCAGAGGAGAAGGCACGCTGAAAAATATGAGGGAAACTATTGAAATGCACGTGCATGGTTCAAAGAACGACATGTTTGCTCAGGCTAAAGATGCCATGATGAAACAGCTGAGAGACTTGATGGTTTGTCACATTTTATATTTCGTCTAACAGAAATAATTCTTCACTGAAACATGTTGGTCTGCACATATCAATGTTTATCCATGATTTTTGGTCATCATTTACAAAAAGGACTTTTCTTAATTCAAAGGAAATTCAACTAGGAACACTGCAACACAAACATACATGTCCAAAATTGTTAACTTTCTTTTTAATAATTAATAAATATTTCAATGCTGATTTAGTTGGAGATCCTGGAGAAACAGTGTAACATGATGCAGAAATCAATCGAGCTGTCACTCAAGACAGATGGTGTCTCCATCCCAGGTAAAGGAAACAAAATCACCAAAAATACTGTACATTTGATTGGAATTAAGAAGTCAATACATTTCAATCAGTGTATTAAATGTATCCATTTTATTTTTTTTAGATGTAAGTGTGGAGCTTGAGATGGTAAAGAAATACTACAATGAACTGACCGGAAGCCCAGATGATGATGCAATTCTTTGGTAAAACTCCATTTAAACATTGTAGTGGCATTTTAAATGTTCCAGTGTCCTATATCCTTTTGCCATTACTTCACAGCAGGGTTTAGAGTGATCCTGACGCAGACACAAACAGATGAAGTTCCGGTCTTTTGCTGCAGTTTAGAATGATGTTTATTGCTTTACATACCAAGGTTTAAGTATACAATGTCACAGGGTTGTGGTATGAGCATCTGCCAGGGCTGACCGTCTGGGCTGGTAGAATCGGTATGCTCTTCCTCCTGTGTCCTCTTCCTCTCCTGTCACCTATGACCCCTTTTATACACCTGGTGCAGCTAAACCCCGCCACCAAGTGTTCAAAAATAATATTGCACTTTACATATCAATTAAAGTAAACTGAGACACCAACAACACCCATAAAATGGCTCCTACACACCGGCCCCTAATTGGCTTTAGTATGAAACAAAAAACGATTACCAATACATAATGAAGGAGCTATGTAAAATACAAATGGTGTGTTCTATGTCTTAGTATTTCATTCTCAATGATTATTCAGTTTATTTTCTTCTCCCTTATTTTAAGGTCATCAGTCTTTGCTGTACTTTATGTGTCAGCCTCTTGGAGTAGATATATCATGATTTGCAGTTCTTACAGTAGGTTGAGACAGCCGTGTTGCCATCCCGTCCAGCGCTGAGAACCTATGGGTTATATTTTCACCCAATTCCAAGCCTTTCCTTAGGGCTCCTGCATTGATGTGTCAGTCACTTCTCCTGGTCTGTCACTTGGATTCAGCCGGTGCCCTAGTACCATAACAGCAAAATCGCAGATGAGCTGCTTGGTAACGTGTTTGTTGTTGGGCAAGCTGGGGTTTTCTGAAAATACTAACAGTGCTTTTATTACAGTAGTGATTCACCCGGTCAAGCAGCTGCACTGCGTCCATGATGTGCAATGGTAGGTGTTAGTGAACCTGATGATCCAAACTGTTAATAAGATGTTAACAAGTGTTTGTTATTAATATTCAATTTCACAACATCGCTCTTTGTCTCTCTGGTGGATGTTTCAGGGTTGATCAGTGGAGAGTAACAGCAGACGCCTGTTAACCTACCGAGGATAAAAGACATGAGGCCTCTGGATTGGGTCTCAATCATTTTTTTAAAGTTCTTATCTCTGTTGACTTTGAGTGTTTTCTAGTGTTAGCATAATGTGCTGCCCTAATTCATGTCATTTAAAAATCCTATTTTAAAAAAGCAGTTTGACGATAATCTTATGTTGTTCAGTCTATTAAGATATATCTCCATGTCAATAGCGACCCCCACATCCACCCCACCCCTGCTTCCGTGTGCAACAGCATTTTAGTTGTCTGCCAGAAGCTTTCATAAATATGTACTTTTTAATCCAGTTTTCAGCACACTTTTACTAAACACTTTAAATCTTGGTCTTTTTTAACGAACAAGCTTTTACCCGAGATCAGGCAACAGGACTTCTTGGCAGATTTATGTCCGATTCTAGGACGACAATCAGAGGTTAACACCTTGGTTTGTACCAATGTTTGGCGATGTAAGAGGACTTACAGATAAACTATGACACTTTAAACTTCCAGAACTGTTTGCTTAGGAGCTAAGGTAACTTTGCATTAGCTTGTAGCCTCTCTGGCTTGTATCCATCAAGGAAACACTGACTTTAAAGTTAAACTGCTTTATTCAGTGCTGAACCAGCTTTACTCTCTGGGTCAGTTTGTTTTGGAGAGGAGGAGAGACCCCTGGGAACATGTTGACCATAATGACAAACTATGAGTTGCTATGCTGTCTTTGATTTCTTTTGAATGAGATCCCCCAGTGAAAAAGTCCTCACTATGCCCATGTATCGGAGAATAGATATTGGATCTCAGCCACTACTGTGATGTCACAGAGACGTTTTGCTTTTAATTATTTAACAGTTGTATTTTTAATATATGTATTTTCCGGTTTTGAATCTGTTTTTATTATGTTTAGAATTGTTTGATAAGTTTAGGCTGAAATTTCAATGAATTAATTAAATCCTCAACATTGATCACAGCACTACTGGAGGGTGATTTGGATGTAGACTAGGCTTCTCAAAGAATGATTTTGATCTGTTTTCTCTTATTTGAAAGCACAAAACTCACTGCAAATTAATGGTATTTGGTGTTTTTCATTCATATTAGGAGAAATAGAGAAATCTAGATGATGGCTTATCTGGTTCCTCGTTATTTACTCTTTTTTTCCACACAAACTTCTTATTGCATACATGTATTTGATGTCGTGTACACTCCAATAAACACATACATTTCACTTGTATTGTTCATGTTCTTGTTAAAGGATCTATCTGCTCTAGGTTTTTAATAACATACATTTCTATTGTCAGATAAACAAATAATTTTCCATCTGCTCTTCCTGCCAAACCGGTTCAGTATAGGGTGCAGCTTTTTAAATGTATAATGAGTAGTAATGTAATCATGCTTTTTAATGTCACCAACATGCTACTTACTTATTGGACCCAAAGTTTACCACTTTTAGTTATTTTTGTTTATTTCTGTTTTCTGAAGCAGCAAAGCCACTCTATACACATACTAATAATTATTTGAAGCATGAAATTTGACATCCTTACTCAACTTACTCGAGTATTGAATGTTCTTTACAATAACAACAGTAAACGTTAAATATAAAAGTTGAATTAGAGACAGAAAGAACAATACCAGGCATCACACACAAATAATGTTGCAGTGAAACACTGTTCACAAAGTGGCTGATCTGGCACGCCTTAATGTTAGTTTCTCAGTTTGCATGATTGTTTCAGAAGTTTGTCTGTTTCAGGTGTGTGCAATGGTGGTAGTTTTAAACAATTTGTCCACACTGAAATAACAATTTCGACACACAAATGGCTTTCAAAAACACAACAAAATGAAGGATTCCTCATATATTCCCTAACCCTGCTTTTGTATGGCGTAAGGAACTGATGAGGCCTTCTTCATATGATCTAAAGATGTGTGCCAGGATTTTTGAAAGATTTGTGTCAGCAAATGTCTTAAAGTCATACTGCTTGAGTTACATTGGAACAATTTTCAGGTTACCTCTTGACACTGGCACTAGGTGTAGTAAACCTTGGATTCAGTATGATTGCAATGGATTCAAATATGGTCTTCTGAGCAAAAAATAAATGGTATAAATCTCCCTCACCATGTGTTTTTTACCTTAAACGTAGGCCAGATTATAACAAAAAATGATCTTAAACAGAATCCTTTGAAACCACATGACCATGAATATTACTAAAATCATGGAACTAAGTATATTGATGTATATGTATGTGTTAAAGGACTTAAACAAAATTCCATTGTATCAAGAGCAGCAAAGCATCATGAGACCTTTATCTGCCATGTACTCCCCTGCTGCTTCAGTCAGTGTAAATATCTAGAGCCTAGAAGATTTCAATTCAGAATGTATTCTGGTAATCAAAAACACTATTTGGAATAAAATAACAAAAATAAATGTGTCTTTAAAAAAAAAAAGACAGAGTACAGCAATATCAGCAAACAACATCTACATACATAAGTCAATTTGGTATCTATAAGTAAACAAGTGGGTGTACTAATGCTTTTACATGAGGTTGAATTATTTGTGCACATAAATATTATTTTATAAATATGCTTAAGCAGTGGAGAATAATGGAGAACTTTACAGCATTTACTATACATTGGACAGGGGCATTCATTTTGTTTTACTCTGTGTCTGCTGTGCATTTCCTGTTGTGTGAAGCTACATTAGTGTAACAGAGTCAGTGTGTAAACAAATACATTTAGATTAAAATGTGGGTATTTGGCATTGATATCAGCCAAATGTTGAAACCCGCTGAAATGTCTCACAGTACTGTTAACTCAGCACCATTTAATAAAAGAGCTACAAGCCCTTGTAAAAAAAACGTTATTCTAACCTAAACACTTTTTCTTATGGCAACTACTTTCATTATGACACTGATAATCAACATTTCAGCTATAATCACTACATGTTTATGAACTAAACTTGTAAAAAAATATGCATGCTAAACGTCACAGATAGCAAAGGCATAGTTCTTAGGCACAGATAGAAATGTGGATCTCTGACCATCCTCTAGCTTGCATTAAAGTACAGATAGGTATTTACAATGGGCCCACCTTTTCAATAAATAATCCACACACAGTATCAAGCTACGTTTCAGTTTTGTGGATAACAATCAATTGTTGGCAAAGTATTTCAACAAGCTAAACAGTCAAAAACAAAGGCATCTAATGATGTATATCAGTGAGCTTAAGTATGGGAGTGAATACAATCTTTTGAATTTCAGAAGGTTTAGCAGCGCAACCAGTGGTTTAAGGTTTCTAGTTAAAGACTAACAATTCAAGCTCACAGTTCAGGGAAGTTGAGTGACCAGTTAACCCAGGGAGTGCTGCTTCTTCAGGCTGTCTGAGCGTCTCACTCTCTCTCCTGGGGTCTTTCTGTACCAGCTCCTGAGAGGAAACAGCCACCGTCATCTTATGCTGACTTCAAAGTCAGTAGGTCAATGCTGTAATCAACACATTTATGAACACTCTTTCCTTTAGCGAGAGGTGATTCAAATAATAATAGAACAAGTACAACAGTTAATAAAAATAAAGACACTTTGCAATTATGGCGAAATACGTTAAAACTCACCCCTGGCGATTCAGTTGGCCTGCAACAGGAGAATTCTGGCCTTGGCTTGGCTTCAGGACTCTGGCAGAAAATAATTTAATTAGAGTACTGTTTTTCTGGGGAAAGTAAACACAGAAAATAAAAGTAAAACACAGAACCAGAGAATATATACAACTAAGCACCTGTTAGTAGTGGGGCTCTTTGGCTTCTGCTGCATCTTCCTAGCCTGGGCTGGGGATTCACTAACCCTGCAGGAGTAGCACATACTTGCAATAGAAACACTGGATCTTATTATGGGATCACCGCAATGTAAGACTGTGTGCCTTGTTCCCATCTTACCTCTTTTTCCTGTCCAGAGACCTCTGTGTGGCAGCAGACAGAACCGCTCTATCCTTGGGACACTTGGCTTTCTCCTGCAGGTTGGACACAAACAGTAAAGAACAAAGTAAAAAACTGAAGTACTGACCATAGCATGTTATAAGGTAGCTACAAAATAATGTAACTTTGTTAATTTGGTAATCAATGGTACATAATCCTGTAAGGTGTTGCTTTGTAAATACTTAACATTATTATCTTAAAAGTACCAGCCGTTATCAGCAGATAGACCAATTATAATCAATAACTAATGAAACATTATGAACTATGTAATATGTATACAGGACAATAGAAGCCATGACTGATTTATACTTAAACATATGCAGACAAAATGCTTCAGAGTATTTCAAGTACAATACAAGCTCAAGCTGCAAGTTCCTTCTGAGAGTGGAAAGATGTCTGAACTTTACTTTTAGGTCAAATGTCACCTTTTTGATTACATAAGGCGATATAATGTGATTTATTACAGGACGATGTTTCCAGGTTACCATGTCTCGCAGCTTCCTCTCTGCTCGGAGCTCTCTGTCCTGCTGCAGCAACGCTAACCGATCTCCGAGAGGTATTTCGAAGAAGATGTCATGGATGTCATAAAGGGCTGCACGTAGCTGAAGGACAAAAGATGCATGAATAAACACAAAGAATGATCGCCATCTGCTGTTTATAGACTGTTAGTAGACCTTCATACCTGGGCTCTAACTCTCTCCTGCAGCGAGCGATCTTGTGCTGAGCAGGTGCCTTTCTTCTGATGAGCTTCAGTCTGGAATGAACGGATGAACTCTTGCGTATCCTAAGTAAACATATAAACAGGAAACATGTATAAACATACAGCTTTTCTACTAACATATGAGGATTCTTTTTTTTTTTTTACACATTCCTGCATAATATAACCATTTTTAATACTGTACAGCTCTTTGACTTTTCATTTGGATTTAATGTCATTTGTGATATTCTTATTGTTTTTCCTTTTTAACAGTTTTAGAATATTTCTAAATTCCCTGTATGTAAGAACCTACTTGGCATTAACCAAATTCGGAGTCTGATTATTTAATTGGTGTTTTAGATTGATTGTGCACATTTTTAGCTTGTGTTTTTGTGTGTGTATCATCACCATGATGGTCTGGCACAAGTGTTTGATCTTCTCAGTTTTGAGCAATCTGCGAGTCAGGAAGCCGCGAATGATTGCGCCAATTCGACAGAACACTCTCTGCTGCTCTGCTGAAAGAACCTGGAGAACAAGACAAGGAGGCAAGAAGATAGAAAAGTGAGGAAAGGGTAAAAATAACCAAGTGCAAGCCACACACCCTCTTATTTACTTGGGTTTACCCACCAGACTTAGCCTTGCTCGAGGTTTGCTACCTGCCCATGTAGACCCCCACAGATAGACAGGAGACTGGAGAGAGGGAGAGGATAAACTGGAACCTACGGGGCTGGAAAAACCTGATAAAGAAATATATTTATAGAAAGAAACATATACTTTACACACAATTTATCTTGTTTAAATGGGAAATTAAGAGTTGTCCTGTTCAGTAAAAAACTGTAATACTCAATTGAGCCTAAATTTAGCTCAAAAAGGGGGAAGATGAAAAAGAAAGAACATCAGGCACACTTTCTCCAAATGTAATGAACTACAAAAATCCTCCTCTCTAAGTATGCAATCTGTTGATCTCACTATTACAAACTCCAACACGGTATAAGTAAACAGTGGGGAGTGGTACCTATACTGTGTCCAGGTGATCGCTCAGATGGTGTGTGGGCAGGGCTTAGTCCAGGACAAGAGGAGCTCACAATAGGACGGCTGTCACTCACAGATCTACAGTTCCACCCACAAGCCTCCCCACTCAAAGGCCGCACACAGCCCTGCTCCATTAGTCTTTTCTCTGTCTCCTCAAGTTCCTAAACACATGTGGATAAAATACACAAACACACACACGCTTCAGTAATGTAAACAAATAAACTCACACCTTTGTATTGCAACTAAACAATATAACAATTCAAGCCCATAAGTTATCACTGATAAAATACTGCACATTTTGTGTACTGTATCTACTTCAGTTTAGACTTGATGTTGTGTGATTCCATGTGCTGACCAGACAGAGGCGCTGTTGCTCTTTCTCCTGCTCAGCCAGGAGGAGAGACATCTGCAAGGCATGCTCCTCCTCCAGACGCCTCTGCATGTCCTCCAGAGCCTGTGCTCGCCTCTGGGTCTCCTCTGTTGATGTGCACAAATAAATATACGTAAAAAATGTCATCTTTTACATTTCAAACCATTATCATTTACCTTTATTTGCACTGGTAAAAACAGTGTAAATATCTGGAACTGATCTAGGGAGACTCACCTGTCTTGCTGGTCTGTGCCTCTACTGCATTTCTGAGGACAGTTGGTGTGATTCTCCCATTGTTTGTGTCCTGAGGGTCAGCAGCCTCCATCCTGTGTGTGCCATGAGCCAAGTCAGAAGTGATGCAGGGCCTTGGCAAACACAGTGAGGGATTATCTACCTCAAACGACCGGTTTAAAGGGGCTGTAGGGGTGCGCCCACTCGCAGCCATCCATGTGACTCCAGCCATGAAGCGAGGAACCCTCTCCTGGCTGTGGCCTATGTGCTCCACAACAGAGTGTTTGCTATGCAGCTGGCTGTCAAAGGTGTGGCAGCGCCGGCGAAATCCTGCTGCAAGATGGTCACGGTGCCCATTCGGGCTTAACCCTAAGGCACTAACGGGACTACAGATATCTGGGCTGGTACCACAGTGGCTGGGTCGACTATTGCCACTGCTTACACCAGCACTGCTGTCACTCCCCACTGAGCCCCAGTGATCGGGGGACTTTATAGCCTCTGAGAGAGTTTCTCCCCAATCTGCCATGCCAGCACCTTCCCCTGACCTCCGTGAGCTGCAGGGGATAAGGTCTGCCGGGCTGATGGGAAACGAAATGTGTATGTTCCCTGTAGAAACTGGACGTGGCCGGCGTCTCTGTGCACGGGGACTAATGCTGGACTCTGGACTGGGGAGCCGAGCATACCGGTCATTTAGACAACCAGTCTGTTGGGGACTGGCGTCGTACAGATATTGATGCTGGATTTGGGTCCGAGGCGGGCCAGTAGGGCTGTGGTGCAGACTGAATCCAAACTCAACGCCTGTGTTCCCCATGGGACTGCGGCTCTTATTCTCCTTGTCAGAGACAGTCTCCAGCAGAGGGGTCCCAGTGACTGTGGCGACAACTTCTGAACCCTGCTGACACTGCTCTCTCTTCACATATTCTCTTGATCTCTTAAGAAGGCTGTCCAAACTAATGTCCTCCTCCTCTTCTTCATCTTCATCCTCACTGTTCTCTTCCCTCTCAACCATCACTTTCCCCACTGACTTGTAGCCATTGATGATGGGGGTCTCAGAGCTTGGTTGATCCCTTGTTTGAAGCCCAAACCCAGGGTCTCTGGGAAGTCCAGGAGAGTCAGTGATCAGGGTGTAGCCACTCTCCTTCACAGATTTAGAAACTGGCGGCTTTTCATCATCTATACTTGATTCTCCATGTGCCTGTGCAGAGATAAACATTAATGATGACAAATCATCAAATAGTTGCGGAAATTAAAAGCAACAAAAAATAATGACTAATGGAGTTATTTGCCCAAAACTACATTGTAATAAATTACATTGGTGTAAAGCAGTTGATTTATCAATACATATAAACAATTAAAAGTAAAACAAGATATCCGATCCAGTGTTGGTTTTACACTAAATGTCAGGTGGCTAAACTGAAATAGTCACTTGTCATGTATGTTAGCAAAATACAATTTAATTTACCTAATTACTAAACTAAGTTAATATTGGTTTCAAGTAGGAATGGCCCAACATTTCAAAACAGGAGCTGATAGAAACAGTAGAAAATATTGCTTTGGATGTTGAGTTCACAAAAACGGGCCATAATAATAAGGTAAAAATAGCATAGCCTACCAGAGACAGTGCTAAGTCAGACAACCTGTATTCAAGTCTGCCCATGTCACAAGAGATTCTGGGACAGACAGTAGTTAAACATTAATGCTAATTGAGGGATTGACACATACTGTAGACCTATTCCACACATACTTTAGATTTGTAGATATGAGTGTTTATAAATTAAACACAGTGCCAAAATCTATGTTATATGAGTTTTATAACAATTTGGATGTGTGCTAATGTGGTAGATATTTGGATTTTGCCATTTCATTTCACCTATCCAGTACACACTGAAAGTTTGTATTTATTTCACAAAACATGTGACCATTCCATGTTACTGACCCGAGGTTGTTCCAGTATGTCCTGAACTCGGGCCATGAGGTTCTTCCTCAGCTTGTTCTGCCTGTCAACCTCCAGCTGGACCGCTCTCTGTCTGTGGTCACACATCTCACTGCGCTGCTCTGCACTCAACTAGAAAAACAAAATACACACACAACAACATTTTAAGAAGCCCAAGCATTAACACAGTTTAGTAAGGAACTGATCATTAAAAAAGGCTCCCAGTACACAAAGAATTCCATTATGTTTATTTGTGACCTACTTTCTGTTATTCTTGATAACACAATCAATCCTCTTCTATAAATGTTTGTTTCTCCTTTGCTTTAGTGAAAGCAAAATCTTCAACAAAACATCCCTTAACTGGCCTCTCTATCAGGTGGCTATTCCTGACAAATAGTGTTGTCAGCAGTAACAAGCAGATGTATTCTCCTGACCAACATCAAACCGCCTTGGTGTTCCTCGTCATTCGCTATCTCCTCTCTTTTGCCCCTGCTAAGTGCTGATATAATCGGAACTAGTAAGCCCACATACTTCACATATACTGTACAATGTATCAGTAAATTCATGTGTTTGGACCTTAATCAGCTTTAATCTAATTTAAACCATGTGATTAAAGTTCTCTGGGCACATTTGTTTTTTTTATGCCAGAAATGTGCATTGCAAATGCACCAAAAACCTCAATTAGCTATGGTTTCTGTTAACTTTTCATACTGAAACTAAATAAACTGTGATTTAGCTACATCTTGTTTTGGCTCAGGATACATTCTCATGACTGTTCATCACTTCCCTACCGTAGGCGAAGGCACAGCTCTTCCATGGAAGCGGATGAGAGAGAAAGCCTTCGGGGACCATAGTGGCTCACATGTTGTCTTCTTGAATTTCCCCTCTTCCTGCAGTATGGCCAAACTCCGCAGACAGAATTCTTCATAGCTTTCCATCTCTGGACACCCACATATACACACTCTGAATGTGAAACACACACCATGTAGCCTCGTCACCCAGCTGTAAAATGAGATAGAGAGTGTGTTAGATGGACATCCACAACTCAGTGGACATGGGAGCCAAAGACTGCACTGGGTGTGGGTCACTAGATGAAATCATATGTGGAGAGCAGTACAAACAGGCTTAAACAAAAGAGGGTCTGTCTGCCCTCAATGGTTTTATCACACTCATCACATTCCTGCCATTCCTTTCTATCAGACCTTGCTGGTGAGTGACTTCCATTTCCGTGTCTCAGGCAAATGCATGTGGAATCGTGTCTAATCAATACAGCTTCTATTTCTGAAATGCCTGTCAGCAAAGGGATAGCGAGGACCATTTCACAGACAAATCACAGCTGTTGTATGGATGAAACTACATTTAAATGGAAACTGCTTTGCAATTAGTGTCGTTTACTCCAGATGTGTGTCTATCAAACTGACCATCCCTCCGTTAGACTTTCATCCAATCCTTACGATTCTGACAGTAACCTAGTGGTCTATATTGCGGTTAGTGATTTATTAACACATAGTGACAGCGCAGTAGAGATCGTGGGAATGGGTTTCTTTTTGTACCCAGCTCTTACAGAGGAAGCTTGATACCGGCAGTTTCGAAGGTTAAATCAATAAGATACTCGCTTAATCGGCACCTTGGATAGCCTACCTTGTAGTCCAGATGTGCCCTGATAGAATGACGTTAACGTTACACCCGTGCCTTTGCTCGTTACGGCTGTATTGCCTTCAAAATGGACAAACAGGGATATCTCCTCTCTTTGTTAGTAGTGGACACGCTCTTTTGTCGCAGGGGAATCAACAAAGAGTGGCTACATCATGAACATGTTTCTCCTTGAATCTCGGGTTGCCCATCATCATCATGTTCAACTCTTCCGGGCTCCAACAGCGCCTCCTAGCAACAGAGCGTCGGCCACGTTCCAATACTAAATGCTATTATTAACCATTTCATGGTAGAGGTGGAAGAATTACTCAGGTCTTGTTCTTGAGTAATAGTAGAAATATCACAGTCCAGGAATACTCTGGTACAAGTAAAAGTCCTGCATTCAAAATTGTACTCAAGTAAACGTAAACAAATATTAGCATCAACATATATTTAAAGTATCAAAAGTACTCATTATGCAGATTGGCCCATTTCATATGTTGTGACATCTCATTACGTTCGCTTGTTTAAAGTAACTGCAGGCTCTTTAATTTTTCATACCAGTATCTTCCATATATCACATATATATCACATGTTTTGATTACAATTATTGATTAATTAATGTGTTTATCAAAGCTGGTAAAGGTGCAGCTAGTTTTAGTTTGTGTACTGCAGGATAGCTTGTGGATTTACTCCAGGTGTAACTAAAGTCTTATTTAAGTGTTGATTATTTCACATCATTAATTCAAATCTGTAAAGTGTATTGAACAACATTAACACTTGGGATTCCAAATAGATTGCATATCTATCATCAATGAAGATTCTTAATTTACACTCAGTATCTGTGCCCTACTTAATAATTTTTTTTAAATGGTCATTCTGAAGCCATTTTTATTCTTTATCTTGCTGAAAGATCACGCAATGCCAGGTAAAAAATACAGCCCAGGACAATATTTTTAAATGATCTCTTTATTAAGCTGACACTGAAAAACAAGTACAATGGCAACAAGCCATCACACATTCAGAAGAAGCAAAAATGTCTTTGCTGTTTTCACAACTCATCGCTTGAGTGCATGGGTGAACCTGAATGTACAGGTTGAGCAATGCGCACAAGTTCCTTGTTGTCCAAGAGTAGAGCTTCGATGTCACTTTCGAAAGAGGTGGTTTTGGAACTCTGTCACAAAAGTTAAACAATGTTAGTTCTAATAAGAGCAATTCAGTCTAATTTAATGGGGATTATTGTTTCACAACCAAACCTACAGCCTACCTCAAAAGACTGCCGCTTTACCCCTATGCATGCCTTGGACTGCTCATAACACAGGACTATATCCAGACGTGCTGTTGGTTCTTTATTCATCAAAGCTACATGGAACTGGTCGTAATGAGATTCTGGAAAGAGATTAAAAAAAAAGATTAAGTACAGGGTAAAGAATATGCAAATACATTGTTTTCTTTCCTGGTCTTACCTAACAAGTGCTTGCAGGAGGAAATCATGTTTTCCTGAGAGACGAGGTCATGTTTCAAGATCTGTAGTTTCTCACATACACCTCCATTGAGGAGGTTCTCAACTACTGTCTGTCTGTTCTCAGCGGGGGCTCCTTTTATGGCATTATCAATCTCTGTAAGGCAATATGCATACGCTTTTATTATCTCTTAAAGACAGCAGTGAAAACATAGGTGACAATTCAGGGTTTCTCCATTTTAAACGACAATGTTTCTCTCCAAGGCAAACTGAATAGCTATCCGCTTACCTTGTGCTGTTGTGAGGCAACTCTCACAATAGGCGTCTGTTGGAAAGAAAACAGTCAACATAAGACTAGACTACACATATAATGACTGAGGAAAACAACAGATAAAGTGTGATGTACTCACAGCGGTCCAAGTCTTTAGGCTTCACAGGAAGAAGGTTGCAAATAAACATTAGCAAAATTAAGATCCTCATTGTTAGCCAGTGAACAAACACGCACAACAGCTCACACTAGGAAAGAAATGTCAACTGCATTGAGGCTAAATCATCTTTCCTTTCACATAATGGAGTCATGTGATCTCAAGGACAATAGGCTCACATCTCCTTCATTCCACAGATGACAGGTGTCCAGTTTTTCAGGTTTTCTGTAATTGCTAACAGATTGAGTTGTTCTACAGTCTTTGAACAGGGGGCTTTAAGTACTGTGAACTCATAATATACATTTGACTACTTTGGCCCACTTTATGATTCACATTACAAGAGCACTTAAAGTTACATTTTGTCTAGATTTGTAGAATGGGTGTAAAGAATGAGCATAAGGAACAAATATGTTTTTAATTAGCTGAAACAATAAAGAGATTAAAGTGCAAAATTTGAAAGTAGGGATTTAGTTGAGTAATTTACAAATAAAGTACATGATTGTAAATGTATTGCTAAGACTTTGTTTTTGCACCAAGATATTCTTCACTGCTATACAGAGATAAGAAACAACAGTGATTATATTGAGTTTTTACTTGGTTAATCATGCTCCTCTTTTTATTTTGTGTGACCATACACACCACATCTCTGAATCAATATTAGCCTATTTATATAGTAAATTCGTTTTTTGTTTCTTAAAAACAATTACTTTGCTTGGTTTCAGAGGAGAGATGTAAGGAAACCATTTTATATATTGTTTTCTTGTAATCATTTGTATTTCGTTTTTATTATGTATATTTGTATTGATATTGATAATGATATTTCGCCGTTCTAATAATGGTAGTAGCTTCAGTAGTAGTTGTTGTTTTGGTGAGTGGCCACTAGGTGATGCTGTTTTATAACGAACGTCAGTTTCAGTGCGTTTTAGTGGTTTTGACAGATCCCAAATATGGTCACGTTTACCATATAAGGAGTGACGCACGTGACGCTCGTGTGGTCTCAACGGAAAATATGACTGTGCGGGAAAGGCGAACGTTAGAATAATGACTTCTTTTCAGGGGAGTTCATTATAAACTTCTAGAGAAACTTCAACCTTAACTAACTTCAGGAATAATACATTCTACAGTCCGAAGCGTCAGCTTCAACCTGTGAGTAGACTAACTTCTGTATTGATAATAATTATGTAAATTCATTTCACATGTGCTGTCCTGAACTGTCAAGAGAGGCTAGCCACACATCCAATCTGAAATATCCTGATAGCATCCTACGTGTTGTCTCTGCAGCACTTTGGGGGACATGCTCTGTATTTTCGTGGAAAGTTTGAATGTGAATAGGTTTCACAGGAAGCCCACAAGGAAGCCAAGAGACTGACTCGCCTTTGCATGTTCCTGACCAGTGCAGGAGCAGGGAAGTGAGTTAGGCTAAAATAGTAACTGAACAGTTTCTTTGGACAAACCTTCAAACTAGAATTATGGTAAGGCGTATTCAATTGTCTGGCAACAAATCTCATTTTAACTTACATCTTACTTGCCTGGGGGTGGCTATTTATTCGAACTTGACATGAGCAAAGTAAGAACACCAATACGGAGCAAAGGGCTTCACTTATATACTTACCGCCATACTTTGCGGTTTGTTTAACAGCAACCTGGTCTTAAAATAAGTAGGTTTTGTTAGTCAGGGATAATCATTTGCAAGATGTTTTACCCTGGTCCGAGGCTGTTCCAGACAGAGAGACTTGAAAAAAAGAATACAACAAATACTGTGAGTTGTGGGAAGTGACTAACTACTCAAGTATTTTGAGGTAGTCTGCTTTGATTTGCATTTATTTTTGTATTTCATACTTTCATTGGAGTGCGTTGCATTCATACAGTTGTGGTTACTATTTAGATGCAAGTTATATAAAATACAGACAGCATTTTGTGGTTTAGGTTCCCAGTCTTTTTGTCTTTGCAACCCTTTCAAGAAAGCAGTGTCTCGTTGTGGCCTCTGTCATTTTTCAGATGACTTTGAATTGTGAGCAGTACAAACAAAGGGACACTTTCCTGCAAAACGTTCCCCATGGTTTCATGGTTAACTATTTCAGTATTTCACAGAGAAAAGTCAGAATAACTATAGGTTTTGGTATCAGGACCCTTTTATTGTTCTTTCCTCTCCCATTAATCATACAATACAACTTTATTTATAAAGCACTTTAAACCTCCAGACCAAAGTGCTGTACAGGCAAATAGATAAAACAAAGCATACCAAAAAGTAACACAGCTCAGCTCACACACCATAAAACAAGTACAAGTAAAAACAACAATTTAAATCATCTGACAAGAATGATCTTATGACCTCTGTCTTTTTCACAGAAGACATTTTGTTATGTCACACTAGGAAAAGCACATTTGTTAATAACATTAAGGAGGTTTCCGAGTCCTTGTGGTGTGCATGCTTGCTCAATATCATAGGACACATAACTTGTCGATGAATCCATATTAACAATGCTCTAATAATGATATGCAAGTCAAGGGCAGTTTGCTGTTATATTGTGTATTTGTAGTAGTAGGACTTAAATGCTGTGGTATTACTTAAAGTAAGAGTATTTGATTTCTTTGTTGTTGGATTGTTGGAGTTTATGATCTGAGTACTTTTTCCACCATGGCTGGTTGATCTGAAAAGCACTTGCACGAGGCATATTAAATGAGAAGGCTTTGATAGAGGTCTTATCTAAACTGAATGTGAACAATCCTGTTGTTTAATCTTTGGCAGAAGGATAGCCCGCCTTCTGCAAGGTCTCAGATTGCATCCAAAGTCCATCTAAAGGTGCTGTAGAAACTGCTGTCCAGCAGATGGCGCCATGTCCAACCTCCTCATCAGTTATTCTATTCAAATGTATCATTTGATTTGACTTCAAATTGTGTTATCAATTATTTCTGTATATATCTTTGTTGAAAATGTGCTGCTTCAACAGCAGAGAGGACAGTCAAAGTCCTGCATTTGAAAGCTGAAAACTTTAAAGTACACAACTATTTCAAGCTGAATTGCACTTTATCAAAAAGTAAGGGTTATGATTTATTTGTGTTACTTTACACATGATGTGATTATAGTTTTTACACATACGTTATTGTTGCATGCAGCAGGATAAAAGAATATGATGTCAGGAGCCTTGCTGTTAGTTTATTCTAGAACAGTTACAACTTTATCATTCTCTTTTAGAAAGAAGCATTTTCCCTTTTAGAAATATTAAAGTAACTTCTTCCTCTTCTACTTATTTGTCTTCTTCTTCTTCTTCTTCGTAGTAGTAGTAGTAGTAGTAGTAGTAGTAGTAGTAGTAGTAGTAGTAGTAGTAGTAGTAGTAGTAGAATACTAATAGTACTACACTCCTTGCAGAGAAGGTATAATCACATACAACTGAACACATGTGAGGTTATGTAGTTGTCTGTGTACGTTCACAATTAGTTGAAGCTTGTTTTTGGACTCAGTTTTCGCTCTCTTTTGATGGAAAATACATTTTCAGCATGGGGTGTGTTCTGCTTTATATCGGCAGTGTTTTCTTTTATTGAGATCATTTCATAATGACTTAACTTATAGAAGGAACATTGTCATTTCTTCTTTCTTTCAGATGGAATTCATTGGTCAAGTCAATATTGCAATAACATGAATGGCCACTTTTCCTCTTACTTCAGTCCAAGATGAGTTGTTGCCAGTGTGTTTCAGGGCTCATGAATACACCAGACACGGTCTTAGCTAATACTGAGGCTTTGCTCTCATTTTGTTCTGATCAGTTGTATTATTGTTTAGGGAAATAGGAGAACATTGAAACTTGTACATGGCCACATTGCATGACAGATTCAAACTCAAAGTGGGAATTGTTTATAGACTTTTCAGAGGGGTTTTTAGGGGTAGCGGATTTGACCTCAGGATTTAAAAATCGCAGACTCTTCTCCTGCAATTAAATGGGGCAGAAATTCGGCCACATTTAACCTATCACTTGTTTACATGATGATTGAGAGCAACATCCAACACTAGAATGGTATTAATAACAACAATAATTAAGGTATTATGAGCATTTAAAAACATTTTCAAATGTTGTGTCAACCAAGTATAGGCTACAGATAATAACTATGATAAAATAACTGGATACATTATTAGTAGTACGGTCATGATGTCAGAAATGAGTTAAAGGTTGTTTTGGTGGCAGTTGGAAAGAGGGGCTTTATGTATCAGTTGAAATGTCCTACAGGGACTCAATGTCAGAGACAATACAGTGCTATGGCTCTCAGTGCACCGAGCTCCAGCTGCTGTCCGGTGCATGCCGTTGAGCCAGGGCTGCTGTCCTCCAATAGATTTAAAGTGTGCGCCTGTCCGACAATAGAGGGCCGGGAGTGGGAGGATCAGCTCGGCAGCGATCCTTCTGGCTTTGTTACGCCAGGGAAGCCATTTTGGAAATCTGCTTGTTGTGCACTAGCATAACACTCAAGCTACGAGCAAACTTTTGCGTTTTTTTACCATAAAAACAAACCGTTAAGGATCTGTGAGCCGCAGTCATTTATAGCCTTAATCTTTGAGTGAGCGTGTCGGGATGCGGGCAGAAGTTTGCGCATCCTCCGCGATAGTAGCCTACTGCGTGGACCATTTCCCTTTGGATTACGCTTTTAAATAAAAAGATACATGGACTCTAACCAGGCGGGCAAGTTGACATCCTACTATAAAAACATCCTATAGGTTAACGTTTCAACTAGTGATGTTGTGAATGTGTCATTTCGTGTTATGCAGATTGATTCTGTTTTCGCTGAGCTCCTTTACCCAACTAACGCAATCTCAGGCCTTATTTTCATGGCTAATTTGATAAATCTGCGACATTACCTGACATTATATGTTTTATCCTTCATTAATAATGCGTGGTTTTACGGAGAAATGGTAGAATAACCTGTATGATAAGATATGAGTAACCCAGTGCTTTCGAGAGTGACGGTGTTGTCTAAATACACTGCTTCTAAATTTAGCACTGGGCAATGTAAGAATGTAACGGCTTATATGTCATTTTGCTGGACCCTATGTCCAGTTATTAATACACTGAATGTTTTTAAACGACCCCGGTCTGGAGCACTGTGTTGACAGAAGCTGCACTAGGCACAATACTGTATTTCGTCCTCTTTGTCGCATGTGTTTTGCGTAAAGGAGCCAGCAAAACAAACGTGTGATGATGCATTCAGTGTGTGGAAAAGTGTCGCATGTTTAGACTGGAGTGTGTTTGTGGGATAAACGCATGCTGCTTGTTGAACCGGTCTCCTGAATGATGAGCTCAAGGATTACATGATCTAATAGTTCGAAGAGGAATCAGTCATATGCTGAAAAACAAAACCCCCTCTTTATTAAGAACTCCAGCCTTACACCATACTCTCCTCTACTCTCAGGTCTGGAGATATAACACAGTTAGTACATGTATTATAAGACTGGTTTTCAGTTAGCCCACATGCAGTGCTGGCACCATGATTCATTCCCCCAGTGCAGTCACAAGAAACTAATCCTGGCTGAATTAAAGTGGCTTTTCGGATATTTCTGTTACCGTGTATCCTTCTTTTTGGCTTGGTGACTTGGAAGTGGATTTGACCCATGATTAAGATTATGTGTTGAGATTTTGGTTTCGGATTTTCTGATTATCTGTTTTATTTGCTTCTCCGTTTTTGCATTACCAGAAGAAGTAAGAGTTAAACTTGCACAGTTATTGTATTTATGTTATGTAATGTAGAGCAATATTAGGGTCAACTCGGCAAGTCTAAACAAAGTGTTCCCTTTCTGACAGCCTCAAGTGTGCTGCAATATTCTGACCAACTCTACCCCTAGTTACAAGTGTATTAGGTACACCAGTCAAAACTAATGAAGTCCAACACAAGAGTTCATCATGAGTAATATCGTATTCTGTTTTAGTTTAAATTATTTTAGAGAGCTGTTTATTAAACTCATAGGTTGTTTTTTTTATTGCATTAAACTGCTGCCAGGACTCTTTTGCAAAACAGATTTTTTTTATCTCATTGAGACTTTCCTAAATAAAGGTAAGGAAAATACAGAGAGGTGTTTCTCACATTTAGCCCAGTGTTCCCCAAACATTTTGGAATGAAACACGTTTATTTACGCATTAATTGAGGCCTATTTCTGTCTGAGATCAGTATCTGCATTTGCTCTCAAGATATCTTTCCACACTGAGCTTCTTCTCACTTGGGTTTAGTCTAAATAAGTTAACTCAAAGACACGTTGACCCACATTCGTGTATCAGAAGAACTTTGAAATGCCACAAATCAGCCCCTCATTATAACTGTAACAACAACATCTATTTAACTCATAATGTTAAGGAAAGTAGGATTAATCACAGGACTGGTTGTTTCAGACTCGATTAGTCTCTGCTAATGAACTAGCAGCTGAGTGTATTATAGTAACGGTATTTGCACAGCTTGTTCACATAATACAAGTTTCCCTATTGGAAGCTCAACCCTCAGAGCAGTCTTTCCCGCCCATTGCCTAAAACTGCCCCACCCCTTGCTGTTTCACTTGGTTTCATAATACTGCTCTCTCTGTGCGCGGAGCTTACAAGCAGTCACTAGGAGTAGCTGTCCTGGTGAGGAGCCTTTTGATTACAACAGGAGTGAGGATCGTCATTCTCTGTGTCCTGTCACCACCAGCCATTTCCGTCAGTTGCCGACCGGAGGAGAAGAGACAAGTCATTCATTCCAGCTCCGTCAGCAAGAAGCCACAGCCAACATGCAGGAAGAGGTCGGCCAACTCTACTCCACTTTCAATACCACAGTTGTGTTGTTGTGTTCCCGAGGAAGAGGAATGTCCAGCAGCTCTCATTAGGGCCGGCTGTGCTTTCGGACGGTTGTGGAGTGTAGCAGTAACCGCTTGTTGTCTTTTCTTTGAAGGCCGCCCAGTGAATAGCGCTAGAATAGATTTGGGAAGAGGTGGGGAATTGACCAGTGCTGTGTTGTTTTCAGCGTGAAGATGCAGTTCCTAATCTGTTTTCAAAAATACATTTACAGTGGGAGAACCTGAGCTCATTAGCACAACTAACTTTACAAGAGACGAGTTCAACAAGGCAATGCATGCGTTTCGTGAGTGTGTGTATGGTGGTTACTTTGGGCTTGTTATCCTCCTCCAACATGTCAGCTTTGGCTTAAAGAGTCCTATTCCTTGCATCCTGATTCTTGCAGTTTAAACAAAGAAGAATGAACATGGATTTTTCTCAACTGCACACATATACACCGCCACAGTGTGCTCCAGAGAACACCGGCTATACCTACTCTCTCAGGTGAGACCTCAGTGCTGTGCTGCAATACACAGTCAGCCCTTTGGTATTTCAGTTACACCCTGCCTGTCATTTGTCAATCTGTACAGAGAATAATGAATCTGAATTGTCCTTGAAACCCTACTGTTGCATTTTAAATCAAGGCTTTGAAAGTGGAGTGTGTACCATATACTCCATTATTCCATTTCCTCTGGTCTGGATGAAGCGCCGTCAGCCATGCTACTATAATTACAGTTGTCAGTGTACTCATGTCATATGTCAAACTAACACACTGAAAGCTCTATGCTGCCAACATATTCCAGAGGTGGTTTTACATTCACTGCTGGACTGGTGCTAGTTTTGTTTTCAGACGAAAAACCTGTTGTATATTAAATAGTTTTTTAGGATACATCCTATCAAGCCATGCTTTCCAGTTTGTCCAAAACAGGGTACAACCATGTCTTATTTCTTGATTACATTTGTTTTACTTTACTGAGCTTCAGTTTTTTCCTTTTTTTCTTCTTCTTAAAACTAAAGATTCCTCTGGTTTTGATGACTCAGCCCCATGATGCACTCTGTTTATGATGCTGCTAACACAGAGCATGCACCCTATTTACCTCAACAGACTTTTACTACACCTCTAACATTGTTCAGTTTTTGGGTCTCAACCAACTCTCGCCTCCAATGATGCTCCTCATCCGTGCGTTGTTTCTGGAGCTATTCATCACACCTCATAACGAAGGTGTAGTCGACACTCGACTAGAAAAGTCTGTGCATGTGGAGGAATGCTGATGTCTGTCACATGTTCTCTCAGAGCAGAGAGAGGGTGTGTAGGTCAGGAAATTAAATATCACCTTGCCTCATGCTTAACTCCCTTTCTGACTTTCAAAATGAGTTATTGGATGACTTTTAGGAATGGAGAACTCTCTTCTCCTTGAAGTTGTGTTTTGAAAAAAGACCCAGAGCAGTTCAGGTCGCTGTCTCTTTAAGCTGTAGTTATATTAATGATTGTATTAACTATATTCAAATTGTAAGCAGCTCTGGTATGTTTGAATAGGTTGATGCACACTGGCAATTTGCCTGTTGGGTGTTTTCATGTTGAAATGTGAAATGGCTTGTCTGCTGAGGCACAAGGGGGCAAAACAAATAACACCCAAAGCATTAACATCCTCAGAATGTCAGGACTTCTTCATGTACACACTGCATCGCAGCAATGTAATAAATAAACAAGCCTTTTGAGTGGACTGAGCCAAAGCAAGATGAATGTACAAAAGCTAGTTTGACAAACCCGCTGGAATCCACCAGGTAGACTAAAAGGCTGGAACAAGCTTACCGTGTTCCTTTGAATGCAGTCAGCTGAGAAGCTATTAATGAACCTCGACCACAGCCCGCGGCCTTGATCCCAGGATTACACTAATAGTTGATGTTTCTTGACTAGATGAGATCTGTGGATGTAATAAGCCTGTGTGTACTGCAGCTGAGCCGAATGATGGATTCTCTGCTGAGAAACGCACTTGATGAAAGTTAAATCGGCTAACTTAATATATGGTGATGTCTTTGTCTCAGTCTCGAAGTAAATAGCAGGATATCTTGACATTAAATGTTTTTGCTTGCTTGTTTAAATTTCAGAGATCCATCAGAGGGTCTGACAGCTGAGTGTGTTCAGAGAATAGAGCATGTCTGTATCTGCCAGTGGATACAAGAGAGCAGTGACGAGACGGACAGAGTCAGGTGACAGAAACCGTTGGCCCATCTGTTGTCAAAACTCAAAAGGGCTGCGACAAGTGTTGTCCCATTGAATTGTCCAGGAGGAAGAGTGAAAGGAGGCCGGGCCAAGGGGTTCCCTAAACACACCAGGGAGAGACCATTACAACTTGGACCAGCAACATGTTTGTGAATGAATAATATCATGCATGCAAGAAGGAAAACACTTTTAGGTTTATAATCCAACAGACATTTTATAAGTGAATTGGGATATTGGTGTGCTCGCTTAAATGACTTAAAGTTGTTCTCAGTATTCTGTTAACTGGACTAATTTAGTGATGTCAGCCGTAGAGACTACTGGTATGATGTTGTTTTCATATCTGAGTCATCTTGAAGTTCCATGTGCTGCATTAAGGGATTCAAAGGAAACGTGCAATGTCTTGAATCTTCAATTCCTGTCTTTTCAAATTGCAGATCAAATAAGCATGCCTTTAGTATTTTAAGCAAACTCAAAAATTGCACGTTTTAATAATTGTATTACAGGTAACTTGTCTGACGTAATCCATCCTATTTGCGTCCATTTTTTCGAAAAATAGTATTGTACAGCTTTTTGATTGGCAAATAAAATATGTAATATGTATAAAACAAAATAAATAATGAAAGAGGATGGAGAGATATGCTAGAATACACACTACACATTTTGTTTAGACTTTATTATTTCTGATGTGATACACCGTTGTTTGCCAAAGGTGGTCTACAAATTGGAGAAGCATGGCATCAATAAAGGGCCTTAATATTTAATAATGTTGAAAGTGGGTCAGTGGGGCTGGGGTCTCTGGCTGTAGTATTCCCCCCGACACACGATAGCTGAGCTGTGACAGTAGTACGCAGCACTGGTTATCTGATGCTATGAGTGGCTGTCTGGGAACAGCAGCAGATCCCAAATGTAACATATTTAAAAAATCTGACGAATGAGACGTAGGCTACGTACCAACTTCCAATTCTCTCAAAGATATGTTGAATGCAAACAGAAACGCTGCCTGAAAATGCAGATAGATTTTAGAGGAAGTATTTTTTAGGATAAATCTTAGCTGGCATGAGATGCAGTTGGTGCTTTAATGTTTATACGTGCATGTTGTCACACTCTGCAAGACAAGGTTCAGGGATGCCTGTAACAGGCGCTGTGCATGCTGCTGCTCACACAGTTGTTCTGACATCTGGTCTGAGTGTATATCAGTTCATGCACGACCAGGCAAGTGTCAAGCAAACGACAGCCACCTTTTGATGGCTCCAAGCCGGCTACAGTCGAGGTTGGAGGCATCATGTTTTAGTGTTGTCCTTCCATACGTGTCCGTCAGTCCTGTTCATGTAAATGCAACACCTGGAATGAACTGTCACTACTCTGATAAACAGATCCCTGGAAATACAAACATGTCTCCTTGCTTGCACGAAACACATGTGGAGGTATTTTCTGTTTCACAATCAACCAGGCCAAGAGATAACGTTGATGTTACATCGAGTAACTGTTGGAATCTCTTCATGTCCAGTCTCTGCTACGGATCGGTCTTTGATGAGCCAGGGAAATGTTTAAAGTGGTCTCCATCGCAACCACAGCAACATGAAACGCCACACTGTAGTGCAATGGAGGGGGAGAGAGAGGACACAAGTGAAGTGTTTTCCGTGGGAGGGAAAGTGAGGGTGGGCTGGAACGATCCTAATCACAGTGCTAAATCCTTCCCACCCAGAGATAGTTGGACAGACATTTGAAGGCGCTATGCTTGTTCCCGACTCCCAGTTCCCGGCCTCTGGTAAATATAGGCCTCAGCACCTCGGGGGGGAAAACCTTCTGTAACGGTTTGATGAAGCGGGAAGGCGAGAGTGTGCTACAGCTACAGTGCTCTGATTCGGTACTTTCCCCAGACTTCTCAGTGCAGTATAATGTCAGTAAACACGGCATGGCCCCACAGGGAATTATGGAGGAGATATACATAGATAGTTGGAAATAGTTGACAAAGTACTATACTTAAACCAAATTACAGCATTCAAAATGACATGATTTGATGAGAAGATCTGATGTTTGAACCAAGGCTGTTCACATTTGCAATAATACACATGTTGTTGCTTAAATATTGTAATCTGTTGCCAAGTAGGACAAGTATCTCTGAGTAGTCTCACCCAGTGCTCTCCACACTGTTTTATCCGTAGCTTTGAGTGGCAGTTTATCCGACTAAAGACTTTCATTGGCAACAACACACTTGTAAAAAATAATAGTTTTGCTGTGTTCTTTTGCACGAGGGTTCATGCTTTCCTTACCACACAGATGAACGACACATGGTTTCTATTTCTCGAAGTTATGCGTGTGCGGTGGCCAGTGTTTTTTTGTTCAGGGTTTATTTGTGCAAGTCTGTTTGAGCTCAAAACTAGACTTTCATCCAATTGCTGCAGATAATAAGATCTGTTTCTTTGCTGGTTGTTAGCATATTGGCAATATTATTTAGTTTTCATTTTGATGGTTCGTTGAGTCTTGGTTAGACAAAACATGACATCACATTGGATCTTAGGAAACTGTCTTCAGACATCTTACTATGTAACACAAAGGCCATCAATTAATGTACCTAATACCTAGAAAACAATTTGCATATTCAAAGTTATTTACAGCTCTAAAAAGATCCAAACAACTATCAGCTGGTGCTGCTCAAGAAAACCAAATAGAAATGTGTCAAAATGTCATTGATCTTTTCAAATGCAAAACCCAGCTGGTGTGTAGATTGTGAACTACCAGATACTTTCCCTTCCATGTGAACAACTTGGTGTCTCATTGTGTCCATGCTGTGTTCTCTGAACAGAGCACACTTTTTTGCATACACTATGCAAAGCAAGCAGGCAGGAGGTGGGTGGGTGGGTGGGTGGCAAGTCCCTTTTAGTGGCAGCAAAGCCAACATGGTACTGGAAGAGTAGACTCACCAGAAGGTATGTTCAAAAGTTACTTTCCTTTACCTTGTTGCTCTGCTTGGATCTGAAAGAACAGATGAAAAGCAGGCTTTAACATAATGGCTGCTGCTGCGAATCCCAACCTGCCATAGGAAGTCTGTTGTCTCCTGACGAGCCTGTAAAGGGCCGACGCCAAAGTAATGGAGCTTCCACCCCAAGGGCAGATACTTTCTCAATGATGCAAACACATTCACCATGTGGCAGTTACACCTGGATACATAGCTGAGATCCAGTTATCCCTTCCTGTGTATATGCACCCTGAAGTCTTTTTACATTTTTTAAAAGCAAGACATCATATTCTCTTACAAAAAATAAATGGGACTTGATAGCTTTTTGAGAAACAGTTTATTTTCATTATCAATCAGCCTTCCCGGTTTAATTGATTATTGGACGGTTTATAAATAAATGAAAAAAACTAAATCCCAATAGAATTTCATTCAAGACCAATTTGTCCGACCAACAGATCCAAACCTAAAGTTATTGACTGTTGTGGCCTGATCATTTTTTTAATATAAATGTAACTTTCTTTGACGCCTTTTCATGTCATCACATTTTTTTTTTTACACTACTGTTATCCATATATTGTCAAATATGATGATATTGTTGTTTCTTGCATTACCCTCTGATGTCCACCAACCTTCATCCCCATCCTGCATGTCCACGTGGCTGTGCATTATAACGTGCGGTTTTAAAATGTCGAATCCTTTCTGATCTAATGCTCTGTATAGTTGTGTTCTGTAAGAAAGCCAGCTGTGCCCACTGAGTGTGGGAAGAGAATCAAAGCTTCACTGTTATGTAAGGAGAGATTCCAGGAAGCTGAATGTCAGGATGGAAGTGTCTTCTTTCTCCATACTGTATGTCTGTCTCTTCATCTGTGTCTTTTTCACACAGTTCTGAAAGCACAATGTCTATTTGTATCACCCATGTGGGCCGTGGGTGCCGCCTGGGAGAGTGAACGGAACAGAGATCAATTTGGAAACCGATAACCACTGAAGAGTGTGCAAAACCATTTAACATTGTTTACATCTTCTGATGAGACGGACTGGGGTTTGAACGGGGTGTGATACATGAGGTAGATCTTTACTCTTGTGCAGTCCGGATTGGTTTATCATACAGAGTTTGTTGTTGTTAAAATGCAGATCTATGAGACTCTTTTTTAATGAATGGCCAGGTAGAGCAACATATTACTGTATTAATGATTGTGCCTAGCTGTAGGCCACACAGACACAAGTCTGTCTTCTTTCCCACACACGGCCTGCCGTGCGCAGCAGAGAGCTTCTGTGCCCCGGGCGCTCAGTCGGTAACACTACGAGAGATCCTTCTCCATTATGTTCTAGACTCGTTTGATAAACTGTGTTTCATGGGTTTGTTAGTAAAACACGGAGACATCGTAGTGAAGTTGTCTGTTGGCTCAGGATATAACCTGGTTCAGGATGTAACCTGGCTCAGGATATAACCTGGTTCAGGATGTAACCTGGTTCAGGATGTAACCTGGTTCAGGATATAACCTGGTTCAGGATGTAACCTGGTTCAGGATGTAACCTGGTTCAGGATATAACCTGGTTCAGGATGTAACCTGGCTCAGGATGTAACCTGGTTCAGGATGTAACCTGGTTCAGGATATAACCTGGTTCAGGATGTAACCTGGTTCAGGATATAACCTGGTTCAGGATGTAACCTGGCTCAGGATATAACCTGGTTCAGGATGTAACCTGGTTCAGGATATAACCTGGTTCAGGATGTAACCTGGTTCAGGATATAACCTGGTTCAGGATGTAACCTGGCTCAGGATATAACCTGGTTCAGGATGTAACCTGGTTCAGGATATAACCTGGTTCAGGATGTAACCTGGTTCAGGATATAACCTGGTTCAGGATGTAACCTGGCTCAGGATGTAACCTGGTTCAGGATGTAACCTGGTTCAGGATATAACCTGGTTCAGGATGTAACCTGGCTCAGGATATAACCTGGTTCAGGATGTAACCTGGTTCAGGATATAACCTGGTTCAGGATGTAACCTGGCTCAGGATATAACCTGGTTCAGGATGTAACCTGGTTCAGGATATAACCTGGTTCAGGATGTAACCTGGCTCAGGATATAACCTGGTTCAGGATGTAACCTGGTTCAGGATATAACCTGGTTCAGGATGTAACCTGGCTCAGGATATAACCTGGTTCAGGATGTAACCTGGTTCAGGATATAACCTGGTTCAGGATGTAACCTGGTTCAGGATATAACCTGGTTCAGGAATGTAACCTGGCTCAGGATATAACCTGGTTTCAGGATGTAACCTGGTTCAGGATATAACCTGGTTCAGGATGTAACCTGGTTCAGGATATAACCTGGTTCAGGATGTAACCTGGCTCAGGATATAACCTGGTTCAGGATGTAACCTGGTTCAGGATATAACCTGGTTCAGGATGTAACCTGGTTCAGGATATAACCTGGTTCAGGATGTAACCTGGCTCAGGATATAACCTGGTTCAGGATGTAACCTGGTTCAGGATGTAACCTGGTTCAGGATGTAACCTGGCTCAGGATGTAACCTGGTTCAGGATGTAACCTGGTTCAGGATGTAACCTGTTAACACACTAATATACTTCTTTATCAGACAAGCAGGGACAAAGATGGGATGGGAAATAGATTGTTCTGTGGTAATTGATTAACCTGGTCTGTGTTATAAATACCGTGTTAGGTCCATGCTCAGCTAGAGCTGCTCGATTATGGCAAAAATCATAATCTCGATTATTTGGGTAAATAATTGATATCACGATTATTAAAAACGATTATCCATTTACTTTGAAAACATCAATTTATTGGAGAAAACAAATTTGAACAGTATGTTTTTAACAGTTGATTACCCTGAACTTTAAGTGTAATTCAACTGAAAACCCCAAAAATAATAATAAAAAAAAAAGAAAGAAATGTAACAATAAAATAATAATCGTTTTATTTAGATTACGTTGTTTTCGTAATCGTTGCAAGCCATAATCGTAATTGCGATTTAAAATACGATTAATTGAGCAGCCCTATGCTCAGCTGTCCTTGCATGGCCTCACCTTCTTGTATTGAAGGCAGTGTGCAACTATCCCTCTCAGGCATCTTAGTAGTACAATAACACGGGCTCTACTGTGGGGTACAAATACATATGTAACAGTTGATATGAAGGTAAATTACCACTCACCGTTGCATTCCTTCTTGGAGAGATTTCATAGGTACGTGAGTGGGTAAGAGTTGCATTTGTTGCACATGTGGCATTAGATTTTCACGCACTTGAATGAATAAACTTCCCTCTCAAAGATGAATGGAAACGGAAGTGGTGTTGAGCCTTTTTAGTATTTCATAAACAAACAAACATGTGAACAAAGGCTTTGGTCCTAAACATGCGTCATTGTCCTTGGCATATGCTAAACAGTGGATTCTAGCTCTGGTGAGTTTCAGACCAACGGACCACGCGTGGGCATGTGTTCAGAGGTTGGAGGCAAAGCGAACACGAAAGCACATAATTGGCTCTCAGTTTGTAATCCTCAGCGTGTAAAGCCAGAGGGCGGGGCCAACGCTCAGGTTAGTTTGTTCTGTTAGTAGGACTTGGCCTTCATATACTCTCTGCTGTGCGAGGGCTCCTAGCAGGAAAGGTCCCTACTCAGCTCCAACAGGAAGTTTATTCTGTGTCCTCCAGTGACAGATAAAGGGCTTGGCTCCTCCTGTTCGTCCTCCCTCTGCTGCTGCCTGACCTAGTTGAGCCACATGCTAAGGGTTGAACACAGTCTGCAGTGTACAGCTTGGTCAGGTCATTTCAGTTTGTTATTAGAATCCCGCATTAAATACAAAAAAGGTCAACTTTAGTAAAAGCAAATCAATAAGAAAGATAGATGTTGTTTCTGTCTTATAAAATGTACCTTCTTTGCCACTGAAGAGGGAGTGTATAGTCATGCTATTCTTTTTTTTACATTACAATTGCTAAGAGGGATTAAACACATTTTAAAAACTTTTTGTTCCAGTGAATTTTGCAACTCTTCGCGTGTTGCCTGTTAGTCACGTCTGAATGTTGGCCTAGATTCTGCTTTCCTACTCTGCCAGGTGGGTGTGGCCCCGTGAGTCACAGCTGCACAAGGCATGGCAACGTTTACAACATTCATGGTGTGCTACCACTTACGGTTTGCTTTCGGTTGCAGTGAGTGGAGTAGATTTAGTTTTCTTCAGCCTACATGCATTCTTTGGGATGTTTATCTGATGTATTTTTCCTATTGGACTTCCAGAAGCCCACTGTGCCTATTCTGTTGTTGTTTTCTCTCTCCCTTGTGAGTGAGTCACTTCCTGTTAGGCCCACTGTCAGCTGCAGGGAACAACAATATTAAAGCTCTCTAAAAGGACTGTCTGTTCCTATCTTTTGTTTGGTTTTGTTAGAAAAGAAAGCTTCTCTGAAGATGGCACACACTAGTGTAGGAGATCCCTTATAAGTATTGATGAGGGTGAAGTCACTCGAGGCCTGTTAGTTGTTTGCAGATGAGTTACCGTGCAGAAGACTTCCCTCTCTGTGATTTAACTGTCATTTTCTTTGTTCTTTTCCCCTCACTTTCCCGCTCTTTCCGCTCCACTCTTTCCTCCTGTCTCTCTCAGCTCTAGCTACTCAACAGCAGCGTTAGATTTTGAGAAGGAGCATCAGATTGCCGCCGTATACGAGTCGCCCAGGATGTCACGGCGGAGCCTGCGTCTGCAGACTGGTGCCGGTCACTATGACAATGAAAGCCTGTCCGAATACTCCCATAACCACAGCGACAGCAACAGCTATGCCAGCACCAAGAAAGAGACACGGTAAGACTAGCAATAGATGCTGACACTCCCACTTAACTAATGCAGGGAATACATTAAAGGAAGCATTAGCTTGCATTTCAACTGTAACAAAGAGACATGTTTTTTATTTTTAAAGTTCTCTTTTTTCAATTTGTTTATTATATCAAGAGTATGTTTTAATATTTATGTTGGCTTGAAATTGAGTGATATAACCATTAAACTTCTTCATGGCTGATCATTATTGTCTATCCTAAAACAAAAGCTGTATTAACACCAACAGCTGGACTGAAGTTGTGCAGTAAAATGAGGAACACACTTAACTCTGCATACTGCCACTAAGCCGTGTTAAACGGTTGCATCTATAGGGTGTAGTGTATAAAAGCTGGCATTTTGACCAACGTGGCTAACTGACGCCCTGTGAGCGTGCACTTGAGTGTAGTTGTAGGTTTTTGTCTGACCCTACAATACTTTTCATTCTGTTGATCTTAACATGACTGGCATTTTCGTATCCATGCAAGAAAACTCACGCTCTTCATGCTTCCTTTCTCTGCTCTCTAGGACGCTGCGAAGCAAAAAGCAACAGTCCAGTTCCAGCTCCCGGTCTCTCTCCTTAAGCCAAGCTGCTACACCGAGGAAAACCCTCTCCTTCTCAGCCGCTAATACCCCAGTCAACAGCAACAGCAGCGTCATTCATGAAAGCCACACAGCGTCTGACGGATCGCTACTCGCCTCCATCCTGGATCAGTCCAGCCTGAGACAACGTGCCGTCACCACAACCACCACTTTTGTGGATGTGCACCGGGGTCAGTTCTATTCTACTATCCACACTTTTGTCATTTGAGTATTTGTTTATTGAATTCCATCTTTCCGGATATTCAAGTTACATTACCTGCCTTAAAATGACTAAATGACCTTTCCGGTTTTAATTATTGAGCTTTCTTGGTCTTCATTGACTCAAGCATCTCAGTTCTGTGTGAATGCGTTTCCCACATTGTGTAGTTGAGTCTTGAGCCTGTATCACAAAGCATGTTTCACTTTATCAGTTTTGATTTCTAAAATGAGTGATCTTGGATATCGGGTCTCAAAACTTCCATTCTTAATGAGAAGCAATAGTGTCATTAATAGTCTTAATTAGGGATGTCCCGATCGCCTTTTTTTGCTCCCGATCCAATTCCGATCATTCGATTTTGACAATCTGCCGATACCGATTTTTCCTGATCCGATCTTTATGCAATGCATTAAGAGAAAAAAAAGGTAACAGATAACGGCTGGTCATCCAACGCGATGAATTCAGCCATCTTGGCTGTTATTCTTTTGGCCTTTTCACTGTTCTGGGGCAGTTTCTCTTTCCTTTTGAAAGTCTCTGAAAGTGTCGGTTGTTTCTGTGCCGTTCCCTGAGTGGCCGCTGTGTACTCTTCGTGTTGTTGTTGGTGTTTGTTTCTCAGGTGGCGTATTAGATTGGTCGTGTTGAACGTAGCTCTGTTCTTTCCACCACGCGGAACCTCCGCCTTGCAAACATTGCATCTGGCTGTTACACTGCCTTCGCTTTCAATTTTATAATACTTCCAAACTGCTGACATTTTCTCTGTCCCGACTCCCGAGTCATCAGCTGAACGTAGCGTCTCGTTAGCTTACTGCTACTATTAGACACTGCGCCCACTCTGTTGCTTTGAGAGGAATAAGCAACCAGGTCTGAAAACAAGCCCAAAAGAAGCAACACATACATACAACTAAGGCCTCAGGATGACTTTGAGACGTGAACATGGTCATTTTTGTTTTGTAACATTTAAATAAAATAATACAAATATTTTATTAAAAAAAAAAAAGATTCCCGATCCCCGATTTTTTTTCCTCCCGATCTTTTGAAAATCACGTGATCGGCTCCGATCCCCGATCACGTGATCGGATCGGGACATCTCTAGTCTTAATATAAAAAAGACAAAGACGTTAGGCTACATGGTGAGTACTACATTTGACCAATACCACTCGCACCATTTTCCTTATTATGATGTATGCTGCAATGAATTGCCCTTTTCACCTTGTAGTAAAATATCTTGATACTTCCTCCATTACTGTATGTTTACTGTTCCCCTGTGTTATAAATAGAGCCATAGCATACTGGCTTGGTAATATCTTTACTACTACATTATGCATTTAACAGTTCTTCTGTTTTTTAATTCTTAAATGAATGATTGAGTCTTAACACGCTGTTTTCTCTCAGGGAGGAATGACCACAGTTCATCAAGTGTGAACGGTGACGCCAGCGCATCAAAGTCCCACACCGCAGTCGCCAATGGTTACATCTGCAAAGACTGCTCGTTTCACTCTCAGACGGAGTCCCCTATCACATGTTCATCTTCATCATTATCATCATCATCTCAGGCCGCAGAAGCTTCCTCGGACGCCCTCTTTTCCTCTTCCTCGGACGCCCACTTTTCCTCTTCCTCGGACGCCCACTTTTCCTCTTCCTCGTCACCCTTCACAAGCATATACTCCAGAGACAGGACTCGAAGGAACAAGCAAGGTGAGGGAATGTTAAGTTGGACTAAAATGTCACATTTGTCCTTCTACGTGTTGAAAGTATTGGAGCTGGAATGTGTTGGTAATGAGAATATAATGGCGGTGGTGTCTCTCTGCAGGTGTCCTGGTGTCTATGTCTCACACGTGTATGCGCTACAGCAAGCGAGCCCTGGCTCCCATAGTGTCCTTAGTCACCCTGCTCTTCAACAATGTGCTCTGGCTCGGTTCAAGGGCAAAGAGCCCACCAGGAAAAGGTACACAACAAGAGAAGTTCTTTACTCTTCAATCGCTTCCCATCATACTCTGTTTTTTTCTGTCATTTGATGTGGTATTTGTTCCTAAGCCATAAGTGAGATCCTCGAGACCTTGACGAAAAACTTGACTCATTTCTCTTTTGCAGATAGTTTGAAATCTCCACTTTCTTTCTGGGCAGGCATTTCATCTTCACTCTTAATGTTATGAGTCATCATCTATTTCTATTCCACATGTGACTTTACCACCTCTCCTTGTATCTGGCTTCTCAAAGCCTCTTTTTGTTTTCCTATTAGGGTTTCTATCCTCAGGGGATTTGATCCTAATATCACCCATTTGTATTTGTTTTATTTTGTGTTTGAGTTTTGACTAACAGTGATTGTATGGGGCGGGTTTGTCACCAGGTGTCCTTGCGTCGTATTCGGACTCAATGAAACAAGCGGTGTCCTCCAGTTTTTCCCAACTGTGGCTGTTTAAGCAGAACACTCTTCACAGGATGATGGGCCACAGGGCTAATGGCTATGAAGGACAAGGTACCAGCCGTAACGATAAAAGGCAAAGGTCAAGGGTCACAGCTCCTGACCTCCTCTGCTGCTCTTCTGTTAATACTCTTTCTTGTAACCATTTCTCTCCTTTCTCAGCTCTTTCTTTCCTTATATTAGAATAAATATGTCATTGAATTGACTTTGAAGGGCTTCTTGATAATCTCTGTTTCTCTCTTGGTCTGTTCAACTTTCACTTTCACATTGTTGCTTTCTATTTCTGAGGGAGGAAGTTTACTAGAAACAAAATTAAACTTGTACATTCCCCACACGATTGCCTACATTTAGACAGAACCATCACATGAACAATTGAACATTTAGTTCTTCTGAAGATTAAAGCGTAACACTAAGAACTCTGGACATTGATAACTCTGCAGTTAAGGTTATCATTTGTACAAGGTCAGTTTTATTTCTAGTAAACTGCCGATTCATATATCCTTTATTTAACCAGATAAAAGACTCATTGAGATTAAAATGATTAAAGCTGGTTGTTCCACAGCTGCTGGTGAATGCCCTGTATTAGGGCGGAACAATTGGGAAAACATATATATTTGAGCAATTTCACTTATATTGCAATTGCAAGATGATTCACTGTGTTGGGAGAATGATACATTTTGAGTTACTGTTCTCATTACAACAAATTAAATATAAATATATATTTATTTTTGCGAGAATCTACCAAACAAAGGTTTTTATTCATAAGTTAATGAAATATGATTTGTGGGCAGGGACATCTCTGCAGCAACACAATATTTAATTGCAGAATAATATTTTGATATATATGGATAATGCAATAATCCATATTGTGATTTTAATAAAGTACCAATTCATTTTTCAGCCCTACTGCTTGACCTATTAGCTGTTTTCATGCACTCGTATTCTCACCGTCTTCATGATGACATCGAGATTTTCAGCAGGCCCGTTGATGACGTGCATTAACTCTCTTCTTCTTCTTCTTCTTGCATTGTTAAGCTCATCTCAATTTTCTCACACTACATGGTTTTTGTCATGTAAACAAATGTGTTGTATGTGTGTTGCAGCTCACTCAAGTTTCTGTGGAAGCATGAATGTGAAGGACCTGGTGACTGAGGAGGCCTCACATCTTAAACTCAATGGTTCCCTGTGTAAGCAGAGACACACACACACACACACACACACACACGACATGATCTTTCTCTCTATACTTGGAACGTTTGTGTGGTAGCTTTGAGTGACTTAGTTAATGATATGCGTGACCTGTGTTAGGACCACCAGGCAGAGGTTGTGTGAACTGCTTTAACAAGTCAGCAGCCTGTTGACCGTTAGGACCTGCAGATACTTTCCTTTCAATGAAGTTAGTCCTTCAAACCTGTTTTAAGAGTCCAATTTAACATCAAAACTTACCTTCATAAATGATGATACACTTTGGACTAACAGCTTGCTTGTCTTCAAACTAGTTTGTTTTTATCTTGCACAAATAGTATAATAACAGATGTTTAACATAAGTGAATGAAGAGGTCAAGGGGTGGACGTTTCCCTAAATTGAGAAATAATCAAACAAATGTAAAAACAAACTTCCATTAAGGAAACACAGCTGAGGAATGATCACGGGCATGTTCTCATACATCCAGCTGTCCATGTTGTCATCACATACAGTGTATTGCATATTGTTCATCGTGCCTGCACGTGGCCCACTTGAACGTTCTTTTTATTTCAAACATAAATCAATACACTTAATGTTTTTGTATTTTAATTTCTGTTCCTTCGCCTAATTACGAATTGCATAACTTTGTTTTTACTTGTAAGCCATCTTAATGTCATCCATTCACACATCCTTTGTTTTTTGTGTGTTTTCTGTTTGCCTGCCATCCATCATGTCGGCGTACACAGGCGATGACTGTAAAGGGAAGCAGCATTCAGAGACACACACCGTCCTCCTCACACAGTCCTCCAGGCCTCGACGCCTGGTGGGGGCGCTGTGGAGCGTCCTAGCTTATGCAGGTTAACCAGCCATTTACTTGCGTTGATAACATCCTGTACAAATACTGTTGGAAGAATGTGTTTAGTACTCATACGTTTATAACTCAACCTGTGTGTAGATGAGTACACGCTGTAATTGATCAACTAAACTCTTTCCCCTTGTCTTCTAGGTCACTGTCTCCTGCAGCCAGGCTACTGTGTGGCGGGAGCCGGCAAAGCGTTGGGGTCAGGGGTCGGGACAGTGGTTCGGACAGTGGTGCAGAGGCTGCTCTCAGTCTTCTGGATGATCCTGGCTGCTCCAGGTCGGTGGCACTTTTGATCTCATCTTGTTACGATGATGTGTCGTCTCTGCTTCTTCCTTTAATAGCTTGGTCAGATTGTGATCTCATTCTCTGTGTGTGTGTTTTCTATTTATTCCATCGTCCCAGTGAAGGCAGGCAGAGGACTCTTGTGGTTTCTTGCAACAGGATGGTACCAGCTGGTGTCTCTTGTGTCTCTTCTCAATGTCTTCTTTCTGACACGGTAAGCCCCCAATATCTTTCTGAACCTTCCGGTGTTGCAATGCACAAAAGGCAAATAATTAACAGCTTATATATTAACTGTTGTCAAAACGTTTAAAGAAAATATCTTTTTGTAATAACAATATATAAAATAAAAATGTAAAATTAATCTTCAATGTAAAAACTCATCTCTTTCGACTCCACTTCGAGCAATAAAATTACTAACAAAGCACTTATATACTAATAAAGGACTGGCTTACCTAAAGTCAGTTGAGTAGCACTTGAAATGTTTGGCTCTATGAAACCTGATGTACTTATATGATTCTGTTTTTCTTCAAGTTTGTATCTTCTTGGTGGAATGCACTTATTGTAAGTCGCTTTGGATAAAAGCCTCAGCTAAATGTAATGTAATGTAAATTGCATCGCTCGTAGTGATGAAATTGAATCTGCAGCCCCGAAAGGCTAAACAGAACTCTCCTTCCACTATTACAAAAAACATCAACACTAACTGTTTAGCTCCAAACAGACGCAGTAAACAACTTGCTGATGAATATAGGACAGCATTAAGTGGCTAAAGAGAGGAAATATTGGACTTGCATACACACCAAGTGAATGCTATCTTTGCTCCACAACTGCTAGATGAATCAACAGCATGTACTTGTTTATCTGACCAGTGTATCTCTGTGTTTCAGATGCCTTCCCAAACTCTGGAGGCTCCTGCTTTTCCTTTTGCCCTTTTTGCTCCTCCTTGGTGAGTTGATCAGAAATGCTCTTTATCACATGGGTAACCTATTTACTGAGCAGGTACGAAAGAAAATCAGTCTGTACCGAGGCACTAGATGTCCTCACAAGCACACATCCCCAGAGTGTGATGCAAATCTAGAACCAGATTCAGGTCAGCCTTGCTGGGCTTCTTGTGAGTTACTTCACTCCGTTTCCTTTTTCCAGTTACCTTGCGAGCTACTCCTTTTGGTTGACGTACTTTCCTCTCATTTCTGATATATTATGTTTTATTTGAATATTACATATGGATGCGCTCGTTCGAACACTTTATTGCATCTAGTGTCTATGACGTTCAGGTTAATGGAAAGATGCCAACGTTTAAATAAAATGTAAATATTGTTTGAATAATAGTGTGTGCCGCTGTTATATTGGACAGAATGTAAAATACATTTCTGAAGGGACCAAGTGTCACCACACACAAGAATAAGATTGCAATGAGTGGCCAAAGAGTGTGCTAAAAATCTGTACTTTCTGTTGTCTATATGCAGCGTTTTGGTTTTGGGGTCCGTCCGCTGCTGCCATACTTGCCTACCTCCCAGCCATAAACCTAACAGAGTGGCGTCCGGCGTCTCCCATCACCCTCCTGTCTAACTTGGTGCCAGCTGTAGCTCCGGCCCCTGCCTCTGTCCCCGTCCTTCCACCAGGGGCTCCAGTGGAGCAGACCCCAGCCACCCCGGTCTCACAGGCACCGGTAAGATGAAACCACGAGCAGCGCTAAAACACTGTTGGAAGTCACTGAGTAATATGAGTGTGTGTATGAACTATTACATTAAGTATGTTGCGGTTAAAGCACTTTCTAACAGACATTTTAAATGCCAAAAGTGCTTTGCCCTGTACTTCAGTGCACACAGACACAGTTTATAAACAAGATGCTTTTGTGCTTCTGGTCATATGCAGGGCCGTCTTAGAGCCACCACACATTGTGACCTTTTTTCTGTATTTCTTCAAAATCTCTTCCTCAGCCACTCCTCCCCCCTGTGGCAGTCTCTAGTATTGACTTGGAGCGCCTGGAACGTGTGGAGGGCAAATTAACCCTGCTGTGGGATCGAGTCCAGCAGGGTGAACATAAGCAGGATCAGAGTCACAGGGAAGTGTTGACTCTCTACAGCTCCCTGAAAGAGCATCTCCACACTGAGACAGACAGAGAGACCCTGGGACTGTGGGTGTCCTCCCTGCTGGAGAACAGACTGGGCGTGTTGCGGGGAGAACTGGAGCTGGAGAGTACACACAGAGCCCAGGTGAAGAGATTAGGATAAGTCCTGAGTTACAAGAGCAATGTTTTGCTCTAAAAGCTCACTTGTATCTCACTTTTCTTTCTCTTGATCCCTTCTCCATGCAGAATGCTGAGCAGCAGAAGAAGCACCAAGAGGGGCAGGCAACACGGCTGGCTGACTTAGAGTTGTGGCTCAACGCTCTGTCTGCCAAGACTGGGGTGCGTTTAGCAGAAACACTGCTCTTCTACTGAAAACCTCTTAACTATGTGTCTGCAAGCTTATTTATAACACAATCATTCAAACTGAATATAAACCTTTATATACATCTTCAAATAAATAGTAAAGGCAAGCAAGAAACATCTTATTAACCATGATTCAATTAAATAATCCATATTTCATTAAAGAGTAGAGCTCTAATGGTAAACGGTAACAAAGAATACACTGCAGGCCATACAAAGCCTGAAGTCTAAATATTAACTTTCAAGGTTCAAGGTTTTTATTTGTCATACGAACATAGATACAGTGTTGTTATGACGATGAAAATAAGTGCAACCCAATAACACAGATAAACAGAAAAATATAGTGCAAGTAAATAGTAAATACAAAAAGAAAAATAGTTTACAAAGTGAAATAGTGCAATAAGAGTATATATGCAAGTTATTGGACAAACTGTTATTAAAGCATAAGCTAAGATATGGTTGTTTTAGGTCTGTTTACAAAGGAACAGTGCGGTGGTATTGAAAACATAATGTTCTTCCTAGAAAATTCGAACTGCCATTGTAGTTTGTTTTTTCGGCTTTCTTCAGTTATTCTTCTTGATATTTATCGTAGGAGATGCAACAGCGCCAGCAGCAGTATGAGCACGAGAAGCAGCAGGAGGAGGAGGAGGTTGTCCCTTCAGCAGCAGACACAGTTCCTGTCAGGTACAGACACCAGAAGAAATGCGTTTCTTATTATGCGCTATTCACATTTTGTGAGCAAATTCAAGATAATGGCAGCTCACATGTAGATGCTCTTCTTCTTAGTGTGGGTGTGAAGCAGGAGGAACATGATGCTCTGCTAGCGGAGGTGAAGAGACTTGAGCTGGAGCTGGGCAAAATCAGACAGGATCTGCAGGGCGTTGTGGGATGCAAGGGCAAGTGTGAGCAGCTGGAAACACTGCAAGAGACGGTACGCAACACAACTATTAACTCCTGTTTGGGCTATATTCTGCCCTCACTGTGATGCAGTTTCCTGAATATTTGTGTTCCTGGCATCCATTTGTTTTAATTATTGGTTCTCTGTGTATCTTTTCCCCCAGATATCAGCCCAGGTGTCCTCCCAGGTGTCCTCCCAGGTATCCTCCCAGGTGCGTAAGGAGCTGCAGGCTCTGTTCTTCGGCAGTGGCGGGTCAGGAGCGGAGCAGGGAGAGGTGCCTGAGTCCCTGATCCTCTGGTTGTCTCAGCGCTACGTCAGCACCCCCGACCTGCAGGTCTCCCTCTCCTCACTGGAGCACAGCATCCTGAAAGACGTGTCCCTGCAGCTGGAGCTAAGCCGGGCTCAAACCCTGGGAGAGGCTGAGTCCCAAGCCAAGACCATCGTTCAGACCGTGAGCGGGAGCGTCCAGCACACTGCTGCTGCTGAGGGGCTGACGAAAGAGGTAATGAACATAAACTGGAACCATCATTATTGCAGGGGAAGCTCTTTAAAATGTGTATTGGCCATGTGTTTGAGGCTCTTCTTTAACTTGTAAGTCTTGTGTTGTGGTCTATTCTCCAGCAAGTGGCGCTGATTGTCCAAAACGCTTTGAGGCTCTACTCCCAGGACCGAACCGGCCAGGTGGACTATGCCCTGGAGTCTGGAGGTAAGAAGCAAAAGTGACTTCACTATCAGCCTGTCTGTCAAAGTCAAGTTAGGCTGCATCCACAAAATGGTTCTTGTACGGGGGTGTGTGCGGGTGTCAATAAATGGCTCATTTGTTCAATGTCACGTTTGGAACTTTGAACACCCCAATGTAGGACAAGTATACTTTTTTCTCAACTGAACTTTTATTTTTGTGACCTTGACATTTCCAACCACAATTGAAAGCAAATTGATATTTTTCACGGCTACGACAAGAGAAGACGTTGGCTAGTTACACTTCAGTAAAACACAAGTTTCTTAGACTGAAGTTGTTTTCAGCAGGGAGAGACGGAGATGTTTACTGTACTCTCTCACAACGTGATTATCCACCAGAGTCTCATTGGGCTGCGTTTCTCTAAACGTTGAATCTGTTTTAACTTTTCGAATTCACTCATTTGCACTACCGTCATTTAGACGGGAGAATATGTTTTTTAACCTTACTGTCTGAGCTGTTGTGAATGCAGCTTTACTAATGGGTACAAGGGATCAGCAAGCTAGCTGCTCCATCACTCCAGCATGGTGCGCTAATGCATGTCTCTTACATAATGAGGGTGCATGCATTAGTCAGGCTGGAGGACAACAGAGTATTAACAGCAAAAGCTCCGACTCTATTGTCAGGTGTGTTACTGAGCAGTGTGTTGACCTACATGAGAGGCACAGTAAGTATTCAGATATACTCCATATAATCACAACCACCTGTTGCATTTCCGGTCTGTCTCTACGATAGTGCAACTCGGGCTTGGGATTCAGAACCACTATACGTTAACAGATTTAGGTTGGCCTCTCACGATAAACAATACATAATTGCCATAAGCAATATTGTTTTTGTTTTGAGACAATTTTTTGCAAGTGACATATTGATAATATAACAGCATGCTGATGTATTGTACACACTTTGAAAGGGCAATGAGTATTCTAAAAAGGAGCTCTTTATTTCAGGCAGGAAAACGTGATGTTTGGGCGTATGCTTTCCCTGTTAAGCTACTAACAGTTAGTTTGTTGTATGAGTCTCTCTCCTAATGAGAAGTAAAAGCCAGGGGTTGAAGCACATAATAAAGGAGAACTGTGCAGTCATGTAAGGACATGTTGACAGATGGCTTTAAGGATAAAGATGCTGGCGCAGTTGGAACCATACACCCAAGCTGAGTGTGCAGTATGATGGACTATCAACTTCCACTATGTATAACTACACAATAAAGTACTACATTCAAATTGACACTTCCTCCTGTGTGTTTTCAGGTGGCAGCATCCTCAGCACTCGCTGCTCTGAGACGTATGAGACCAAGACGGCCCTCATGAGTCTGTTCGGCCTGCCTCTCTGGTACTTCTCCCAGTCTCCACGGGTCGTCATCCAGGTGAGTGCCACCAGGACTCCATGGGAGTAATGTTTATTTCACTAAGTAAGTTAAAGGTTGTGTTCGCAGTTTTTCACTGTTGTCTTAAAACAATGGCAAGGTGCTCATGTACACTTTGAAAGCTTTCCTTAAAGCCTTTTATGCTGTCATTTCTCCTTCCTGCTTTTAGCAAGGAAAGAGTTTTGCTTTGACTTACACAGACTGCTTAAGCACCATATTGGCTTTTGTCTCACATGAGATGCACTCAAAGCTCACAGTAGGGGTATTCTAATGGCCACTATTTAGAGAAAGAATAATTGCAGCGAGCAAAACCCTTTTACAAGTTCCTATCATTTAATCCTGTAATGAAATGTTTGCAATCATAGAGAGGTTCCTCTTTGGTTGATGAATAAATTGCTTAGTAGAAACACTCATTCAAGTCCTTGTTGCCGTTATGATGAAACCTATTTCAGCATTTCTACTCTCACTTCCTCTCCTCAGCCCGATGTGTACCCCGGTAACTGCTGGGCGTTCAAAGGCTCTCAGGGTTATCTGGTGATCCGGCTGTCCCTCAGGATCCTGCCCACATCCTTCTGTGTGGAGCACATCCCTAAGGCCCTGTCTCCGACCGGAAACATCACCAGCGCGCCACGCAACTTCACTGTCTTTGTAAGAAACATAACATAAAGCCTTACAACTAGACACGCTGATACATTCCTATTTTCACTGATGTCTGTTTGTCTACAGGGTCTTGATGATGAGTACCAGGAAGAAGGGAAGCTGCTGGGGCAATACGTGTATGAGGAAGATGGAGAGTCACTGCAAACCTTTCCTGTTATGGTAACTTAAGACACACCTCCTATTATTAATCAAAATGAAATCATTGTCAGCCAGGATGTTCTGAATATCCCCCCCTCTCTTTCAGGAGCAGAATGACGGGGCCTTTCAGATCATAGAGTTGCGCGTGCTGTCTAACTGGGGTCACCCAGAATACACCTGCATGTACCGCTTCAGAGTACATGGAGAACCTCGGCCTCAGTGATCCAGCCCCTACCATCCACACTCATAAATGACATATCACAATATCTGTACATAGCTCTCGCCAACTTCTTTTTAAACAAAGGGGACGGGACTCGGCAGAACTCTGTGGACGTTTTTATATGAAAGACAATGAAGTTGTGGATTGTAAGGAATGTTTCCTGGCTGAATCGTGAACATGTGTTTTACAATACTAAAGAATCGCAGGATAGTCTGTATGTGGACTGAGTGATTTCAGAAGAAGAAGAGAAGCTCAGAAGAAGCTCAAACTCCCAGTCCTCTTTTCGTCAAAATGCCTCTTGCACTGAATCAGCCCGTTAAGGGCGACTGGCTCCACGGAGCGGACACATCCATCCCTCTCTTGGCACCTTCCACTCCTACAGGGAGTTGGACGCTTAGAATGGGGTTTATGGAATTATAGACACATCTCCACCATTTCCTCGTCGGCCGCATTACAGTCTGATTTTGGTTTCTGTACTTAATCATCTATATTTAACTCTGATTTCCTGTCACTCTACTATTTTCAGGATCAAAGCCACTTTTGCCTGTGATACTGTCCAGGCATGTCACTCCTTTTGTGGCTGTCAAGTCTCTGAAATGAATTTACCTGAGCTGTTTGGGCAACCTTCAAACCTGCACACCACTCACAGTGGATATATGAAGTTCACTACATTCAAGGCCCCATGCATCCACGTAACCTTTTTTCTTTGGGAACTGAACATGTTGCCTATGGACAGGCTCTGAATGTCTCCTCAAGTGAATGCTTGATGCAAATCATCCTTTAACTTTACACCAACAGAAGCAATCAATACTATAACCACTGAGCTTTGAGCTGTTTTAGGAGGATCCTCACTTTGTAATATATGTTACAAATATATGTATAGTTATGGATGGACTCCAGGGTTAACCCTTGCATGTGACTCTTCCCAAACCATCCTCCTAACTTTTAAAGTACATGCATCCTGGATTTACATGAGGTATGAAGGCGTTGGGTCCAGTGCCTGGATCTCAAAATACTAATGACAGATGTCGAAAGCTAACTAAAGACTGTAATTTAGCTTTAAACATCTTGCTGTCGAACGCTAAATGATTTAATTACTCCTGTAGACAAGAGTGTGATTTTTATTTCCTGATTCTCTAAAGAGGCGACTGTGTCTCCCTCTAGCTCAGTTTTAAACGTCCTCCTCACATGGGCTCCTCTATTCTGAAACCCTGAAGGAATGTATTCTGTATATTTTATTGTTGATAGTCGGTCCTTTATAATATCTGCTTTTATTAGTGTTGCTTTATAAAAAAAATCATCCTTTCATAATTATTACAATTATTATGTATTACTACCATGATTTCTACTGTTACTCATCGTGTTGTTTTCCTTTATTTTGTTTAGTTTTTTGGGGGGGGGGGTTGGATGTCGAAGGATGCACTGCAATGACTTGTGAGAGAAATGTTTGTGGCACAGGTCTTCAGAATTTGTTTTTTAAAATTGAGGGTGTATGTATTCATTAATTTTGGTTCCAAATATGGGGAAGTCTAAAATGTTATGTATAAAAAAATGTCATGTTCACAATATTATTTATTAACAACTTAATTAGTGACAGCAAGATGTGAGTTACTGCGATGTATATTTTGTCAAAAGCTGTTCAGTGCATTTTGGAAGCATCTTGGGACTTTTTTTTTTTTTTAAAGATAAATGGCTATTTTTGTTCAGTCATGAGATGACTTAACTGCTTTGGAATATATTCCAATAAAGATTTTAATTTTGAAGAACTTCTCTGAGTAATATAATAATGACTAAAGACTAATATTGCTATGCTCTTTCAACAAAGAATATATCTTGCATTTTGATCATCGTGAAATACGTGTTTTGCATTGCAATATTCTTTTTTTTGGTAAATGATTTGTTTAAAGCTGATAGTTAAAGATGTGACATCATTTAGGACTGAACTTTTGCTATAATAGCACAAAATGATGGCCCATCAGTAATATAATATGGCTAAACTCAAAGAAACAACTAAATACAAAATGACAAAGTGGTATGAAACAAAAATCCCTTAAAATAACAATTACAGTTTTAACTATTAGCTTATGGTGTTTGATGAGTTGCGCTGTGATGCCAAAGATCTACTCATTTAAAATGGTTAAATACTTAATTAAAAACTGGCATCTTGATTATTTGAAATGAATGTGTAATCTATTAATTCAAGGAGTGTTTCCATGTTTCTTACAGGCACAAGAGGGTTAATAACTATACATGTATGGTTAAGCAATATCACTCAGACATAACTGAGAGAATTTACACAAAACGCTGACATCAGACAATTAACTAGTGAAGGATACAGGTCATTAAAAACGAATTTATTATTATTAGTTAATATTAAACCAAATGTAAAAATAATATTTGTTTTGTTTCTTCGAAAGGTAAAGCCTTTTGTCAATCAATTTCTATATGTATGCTGCCCTCTAGCGGAGAACACCGGAACAACGTATTTAAAATACACATTGTTTTCCATGAATTGCACCGTTCCGGTAAATTTTTACCTACATTTTGCAACTACGTCAGCCTAATGTATTACACCTTGTGCACGAGAAGTGTCAATATGCCGTAGCTATTAAAAACACTAGTTAATTTAGAGACTAAAGGTTGACGCATTTGAATCAATGTTCGGTGAGACATCGTGTGTTTATCGTGTATAGGCTACCAGGAACTGTTTACAGGTATTGCTTTAGTTATTACTATGTTTTTTTACAGCTTTGAGCACCTGTTTGTTGAACATTGTCTTCCAGCCCTACTATTCTGCTCTTCTTATTTGTGTTACAACCGAAATCATCAGCATGACGACTTCCTTAGCAACCTAGCGTGTCCATAGCAACAATTGGAGCTAACACAGGCGGAATAATGGCAAATATGATCTGTTCCAAAAAATCACTTTGGCAACAAGTGTGTGAAGGTAAGCCAACCATGTTTTATTTGTTCAAACCTCCTGTCGTGTTCTGGTCAAATCTGACCGATTGACTCCTTTCATCAATCATAAACATTGTGTTTTCATGTTGTTGCTTCAAGACCTCATGATATTCTCCACAGCAGGCATTTGAACATATTTGCTGATCACCACGTGTCTTTTTTAGTGGTTTAGTCAACTTTGTGACACCTTCGATGTTCCTAGTCATAGGAAATGATTGGACATATCCCTAGATTATTTTTCATCCATCAGATACACACCAACAAATCGACAACCATGTTCATTTTGCAACACATTTTAAGTGTTTCTTCTTTGTTTATTTACTGCAGTTATTCATGTAAACCAGTAGTCTGAGACATTGTTCACTAAAAGGGTGTTAGAAAACAATTAGGTGATAGGTGCAATCTGAAAAAAAGACCGGTCAAATTGAACCAGGAACACCGGAGTAAAGGGGGAGAATCAAAGTATTTTTTTATAAAGTAAATGGTGTTAAATGATGGCATATGTTTTGTGTTTTTGTAGAGTTTGAAGGCGAGCGTCCCAGTCCTCCCAGTGCTGTGTGGACAGAAAGCAGCTCAGGGACAAACCTCTCCCAGTACAGCGCCAGTAAACCCTCCCCGGTCTTCTGTGGACTCCCCACAGCCACGGTCAGCTCACCCTTTAGTTTCTTCATCTCTGTGGCTGACTAGTTTACATCCTGTCACACTGGCATCCTCTGAACTGAATTGGTTTCAATAGGTGTGTGTGGACGGTGACCCTCTCAGAGACTTTGACTCTCTGCTTTGCCACCCTGCTCTTCCTGGCTACTCTGTGTTAGGAAAACCTTGTCTTTCAAAAATGAAGCGTCCCCCTGCAGCTGAAGCTATGATGCCTCCACAACTACATAAAAGTAAGATGACGAACATATTAAACTTGTTTTGTTACGCATTTTTCAAAACAGTTACAAAGATATACATACAAGAAGAAAAAACAAGAAAAAACACCCCAATAAAACCGTAAGGTAAAAGGAGGTAAAGGAGAAGTTGTGAAAGAGGGATTAAAAACAGACTGCACAGGGAGAAAAACTAACTGATTCAGCTTTCCCTGCTGAGTGCAACAGACATTTAGTTGTGTGTGTGTGTGTGTGTGTGTGTGTGTGTGTGTGTGTGTGTGTGTGTGTGGTGTGTGTGTGTGTGTGTGTGTGTGTGTGTGTGTGTGTGTGTGTTGTGTGTGTGTGGTGTGTGTGTGTGTGTGTGTGTGTGTGTGTGTGTGTGTGTGTGTGTGTGTGTGTGTGTGTGTGTGTGTGTGTGTGTGTGTGTGTGTGTGTGTGTGTGTGTGTGTGTGTGTGTGTGTGTGTGTGGTGTGTGTGTGTGTGTGTGTGTGTGTGTGTGTGTGTGTGTGTGTGGTGTGTGTGTGTGTGTGTGTGTGTGTGTGTGTGTGTGTGTGTGTGTGTGTGTGTGTGTGTGTGTGTGTGTGTGTGTGTGCGCGCGTGCGCGTGCGTCAGGTCCTGTCACAATTTTTTTGGAGCGGAGAGTGTTTCCGGTGTTATTGCCTGGACTGGAAGCTTTGCTGACAGAAGCACAGAAACATGGCTGTCTGGAGGTCTGTATTTATTTTTGATAAATGTTTTACCACAAATTAGTCTAATTAAAACGTGGCCAACAAATTATGTTTGATTGCATTGTCTCTTAGAATATATATGGTAAAATGGACATCATTTCCTCAAGCACTAGTGCAGTTTTTAGGAACCTGTACTTTATTTGGCTGTTTAAATGTTCTGCTATTATTCTTTAAACTTTCCACTGCCAATCAGTTGGCAATATTGCAGTTTGTACTTCACCACATTTATTTTACAGCTGTAGTTGGTATTTTATTTGCTAATTAAAAACAAAGTAGTCCTAAATACTACTTCTGCATGGTGCATGGCATCTATCACTTTCTTTTGTGTTGCAGAGGGAAAGAACAGCATTTAACCCGTGTGACTTCCTGACTGAGTGGCTCTACAAGTAAGAGACAACATACACACACCCTCAATGTTTATATTATTTTCACTCATGTATTTCATCATTTTGATTGGGTTTCATGTTTGTTTTGTGGTCCTTTGCCTCTCCTCCTTTATCCTCAGTCAAAACCCCCGCAGGCGAGAGCAGGTTCCAGTGAACCTCCATGACATCCCCTTTGTGAAGGACTGGGTTAAAACAAAGTGAGTGTCTTCCAAACCACACACACACACACACACACACACACACACACACACACACACACACACACACACACACACACACACACACACACACACACACACACACACTACAGTTGTAACCTCCAAATGTATTGTTTTTTCAAGAAATTATAGACATTATTCTTTGGCCCTTTTGTTCCATTGTTACCAGTTTGATACATGGCTAAAGTATAAGCAAACAATAATTTCAAGATAAATAATTATGTGAACACTATATATAAGGTAAGAAAAACATGCACATTCAACGATGATGCTATATGTTCTAGTGATTTTCAATTGTATTATCTTCAGTCCCAGGCCTCCTGTCCCTCTGTTTCTCCTGCTGAGCGAGGATCAGGCTGCTCTGCTCATCCAGGCTTTCTGGAGGGGATACAAGGTACACTCTATATAAAACAACTTGATATAGCAATGCACTATAACTTGACATATTTATGCTTAACCTCAGTGGTTCCTGTTTTCGCTTACCAACTCTAATTAATAAAAAAAACTTTTAAATACAAGGGACATTTTAATTTAGAAGTAGAACGCATGAAGCCTGCAATAACTCCATACACCACAGCAAGTCTGCTGCTTGCCTGTGTAAGTGTGTGGGTCTGTTCTCCTGACAAACAATAGGCACTATACTGCATGTGCATTGGCCAACAGTGCTGTTGTATAATCCCATTCTGCTGAAAGGCCCCGCTTGCACAGGGACTGCAATTTCATTCAGCAGCTTGATTATGTCATCAGCGATGCTGGAATTGATTTCCTTCCTAAGGGTGTCGTGGTCTGAGTACTCTGTGCTGTGATATAGACAGAAACTAAACAAACAGCAGCCATTTCTTCACACTCGTACACAAATAAACCAAGTATTGTGTGCTGTAGGGATGAAAGCAGGGGTCGTGTTTCTCTATCTCTACAGAAGCTTATTTTTCATGTTCTACCCTGCTTGTTGGAGGATTGAGCTTTAGCGTTTTTGCACAAACCATTGAGAGGAAAAGATGCCAGCTGTGCTGTCACATATTATTACATTCTGTTTGAGTGATCTGAACAGTTTTGCATGGTGTGTTTGAAGGTATGCGCACGAAAGATCTATTGAATGTGTGTGTGTGTGCATGCGTCCATGTTTGGGTACTTGCACACCAGTAGGGGGCAACACTTCCTCTTCTGTTTCTGTAACAGAAAAAAAAAGCGAAATAAATCGTACTGGTCTCTGCTTACATTAGGTGGCAGCAGTGCGCCGGCCCCCTTTCCCTGCTCACTGTGTTTACCCTAAACCAAAGAGAGGTTCAGTGAGGCCGCTGATAACACTGCAGCTCAGCACCCCAAGGGATTTAGAGGGAGAGACACAGCCAGGAGGAGAAACAAGTGAGAGAATGGGAGGATATATCCAAAAGGATGAAGCTCAGGCTATATTAGGAACATTTTCAGATGGACAACAAAAGAGATAAGAGAGGCAAGATGATGTTTCAGAGTGGCTTTGGATTAGGAATGGGATATGGATGAGGGAAATGCAGCTTTAGCTAAATCTGTGGCGGCTAAAAGTAGGCAGAGAGATGGAGCCTCTGGGAAGCGCAGGGAGGCTGTGAACGCAGCACATTCAGGGT